CGTTTTGGGAGGTGGGAGAGGAATACCTGACCTCTGGGTAGCACTGACTGCAAAGAGAACAGTCTGTAAGGCCAGATGCATGAGAGCAAGGGGTAGCTCTGGGGCTGGGATGCTGGACACCTCTCACCACTCTACTAATGAATTGCAGAAGCACCAAGGAAAAGGTCCAGTCACAGCACAGACATTGCCAGGGAAAGCAGAGAGGGCCCCGGTCCCCACAGCCCACGAATGGGAGAGGGAGTTGCTTACATCGGGCTCAGTGGGCATCTCAGCTCATTTTTATTCAACTATTGACCCAAATTTCAAAGTTATTGAAATTACCACTTTATAAGCTAGTTTCTTCCTTTGCAAAAAAAAAAAAGCCATTACAATTTAGTAAGAATAGAAGTTGTCCATATCTTTACAGAATATTACAAAACATGGCCTGTGCAGTTGAGACTTTACATGTGGTGCTTCACTGATTGCTTTAATCTCTTAGCAAAACACTCTTTAGCCCGCTATTAGTACTTTATATTCATTTGACTTTATGAAGTTCTGTTAACGTGTCTATAGTGGCTACCTGTGTGTACATATTATCAGACAAGTCCTCCTACCAGTGCTATGTAACCTACAGTTTCAAAGCCTGGGGTCAGTCAGAGATCAGCACCAATAGATACAGGTCTTTTGCATCAGCGCCCAGGAGCAGTCTCACTTTGTGTTTGTGGTATGAATGACAAGATGGGGACATATGATAAAAGGAGAAAACGTTACAGATGAGTGAGTCTCTCCTCTTTGGGCACCTGCTGGGTACAGCAGTGACATGAATTAGAGAGTTTGTTTCAAAACAACCACATTTGCTACAGAAGGCACAGGAATCTCTACAAATCAGGCCTGGTGTGTCCCCAGCAGGGACAGCTGTCTCTGTCAGGGTTAGGGCTGACTGGAGGCATAATCTCACAGCATGACAGTACTCAACAGGCACAGACTACAGCTTTCTGGATTTCCTGCCTCTGCTCTACTTGCAGCTGGCACCACAGATATGTCAGGTGCCTGAACACTTGTGTCAAAAGAACGTCGATAGCTTTGTTTTTGATGTTTAGGTTGTGTTTTAAGTCTTAAACAGTCCCCAGCTTGTTTCTTCTTCATGAATAATAAGTACAGAGCTTCCAAGCTTACTTGCTGATGAGTGACTTAAAGAAATATCTTTGGGAAAAAGACCCCCATGTCTGAACCTTCCCAGTGACAAAGGCTTGATCTATGCATGCACAGTTAATAGTAGATAAATCTGAAGTTACACTGTGCATTTTTTTTTGTTTTGTTTTGATGCTTTCTGATTGCACACTTGCAGTCTGTCTGCTCCAGAGTGCTGAGAGTCATGCACTGTACTGCTGTATCACTTCCCTCTCTAGAAATAGGGAAAATCACATCCCTTTAAGATGAGTGACTTGTGGCTGCATTTAACTCATTCACACACATTTCCAGGGGCTGATGCAGCCATTGTGATGATAAAGAAATAACAGGGCACACATGCACAGGGCATAGCAGATGGGGGACTCATTTTGATCCCTGCACATTGCTCACGTTGATGTTGTGATGGCAGCATGCAGCCTTCCTCCACAGCTGTAACAACCACCCACAAGTGTTCCTGGTCTTTTGCTATTTAGTTACAGTTCTAATCAGTTTTATCTATTTTCCTAATAGTTTTATCTATTACCACTGACTTTGCCATTGAGGTACAGATTTGGGTGTAGGGGAAGAATGGCAAATCCAGAAGATGTGGCCAAAAACTGCCAGGGAGAGGGAGCTGTGGAAGCTCCTCAGGACCCTCACTATAAGACAGGAGCTGGCAGGGGCCAAGGCAGTGTCCCAGGGGCTGCCTGGCTGGAGGGAAGCAGCTGCCCAGCAGATATGACAGGAAGAGAGTATAACTCCTCCTGTGGTAGGACAAGGAATCAACTGGGAATTGAAGAATTAGTCCTCTGTCCGTGAGAGAGACAGGCAAAAAAAAAAAAGAAGAAAAAGAAAAGGAAGGCTGCCTGGGGAATACCCACAGGATAGGAAAAATGAATGGGACTAGTAGCCAAAAGTGAGTCTTCATAGTGATTAGAACAGCCACATTCATGTTAAGTGGGTAAAATGCTAACCAACAATACAAGTTGGATAAGCAATGCTGGGAACAACTAAATAAAAGTATGGTTTAGATCATAACTTGTCCTTTCACACATTAGGAAAACAGCAGAATGCTAAAATAAAGTTGTAAGTGAAACAAGGTAGTATTAAAAAAAATTAAGCCTCAGTAAACCCAGTAACTTCTTGCAGAATGAGGAGAGTGTTTCTTTGGAAGCTTCACTTGAGAAAATCCCGGCAAACCATGCAAGAAGAAAATTAAATTCCCTATGTCTCTTTCTACCTATTTTATTCCATCTCTTTTTTTTGTTATTGTTTCATTCCAGTTTATTGTATTTTAGTCATTATATTCACATTCTCCAAGCTTTCACAGCCCTAGCTAGTTATCTTCCAGGAGAGCTCTAAGGAAATATATCTCCAGTTTATTCTGCCTGCCTGCCTTCCCCAACACACATTTTTGAGCTTGCAAAAATGTAAGCTCAGGGTGGTTACTTCAATGTATAGAAAAAGGCACTCAGCAAACATATTACTTACATGTGGTCTTTTCCATTCGAACTTGACAGGGCTTTTCTGGCTATAGAAGAGGGAGGACTCATTTGGTGGGAAATCAGGATCTTCATAGAGAATGTTCTTCTCCAGGCACTTCTTGTGAAGCTCTTCATAGGTCTTCTCCTTTACACTGATAATGGGCTGGTTGCGACTTATAATGGCAGAATAAATCCCCCCTGTGCCCCCACCTGCCCCTTCAGTTGTAGTGCTAATAGTAGGGCTGGGAACTGACCCAGCAGCTGTTTGCTGAGCCACCGCTGCATTTATGGCGGACGGCATGGGAATCAGGCATAAAGCAAATGTTGAAAGAAAGCAAGATCTTGCAAACTGGAAGGAAATTTCAGAAAAGAGGAAGTTGCTATGTAAACCGTCTTATCAATCTGTTGAAAGTCTTCTAGTCAAATGTGCAAGCCAGAAAATTCCATGTGGTTTTTCATCCTCTTAATGGACAGTAGTTTGTCATAAGAAACTGGGATTTATTCCTTGATGTGGGACAAGATGATCTGTTGGCTAAGTCCTGTGTCTGACTTGTAGTATCTACAGCATGCCTGTGTGCCTGCCCTGTGCGTGTAAGTGTCCAGAAGAGACAAGCTTTAACCCGTGAAATCTAAAAATAACTACAGGCAAAGAGAGGGAAAATGAGAGGGAGGGGGTTAGTGAGATGGTGTCAAACTTCTGTGCAGCTTGTGCTGAGGCCAAGCAAGTTCCTGGGACAGGTTTTGTGTGTGGGCCGACTCCTGGTGGAAGCAGTTCATATTTTTCTTAACTAGATAACAGTGAAACTGGAAGCTACACACCTGCTGGCTTTGGAACATTATTTATAAGGTACTGCCAGGCAATAATCTCATCCTGCCACTCGTAAAGGAATTGTTGTACTCTACTTGTTTCTACCCTTTGCTGAGGAAAAGATATAGACAAATATTTACTATTAGAGAGGATTATCTAAAGACACACTCCTAATGGTGAAAAAGGTGGTAATTTGATGCTACTGAGGTCAGGTCAATACCTGCCCGCTGGGTTTGGTTCCTCTAGAGAGCAGCTTGGCAGCACTAAAACTCACCTGATAATAGCTACCTCTCATATAAAAGGCATCTTTTTGTGTAAGGGCAGAAAAGTTTATAAAGGGTCTAGTGTGGAAACTGGGCTGTTCTCTGTGTGTTATGATATACCAAAGTTACAGGAGCCATCTGACTCTGCAATGCAAGTAGTATGATGCAAGGGCCTTTCACTGCACAGCTTCAGCAAAGATGCTCATTTTGCAGCCTGTGCATATGTTCTTTCTTTCATATTCTCCCTTTCTGACCAATGTAACAGTACCTCTGTTTATTCTCATATACAGAGCTCTGTTTCCAGAAGAATTGTCAGTGGGAGAGGTCTGACATTTGACAAACTCCTTGTGGGCTGCTGGGGAGGATAAAGTGAATGATTAGCAGTGGGTTTTGTTTGGTTTTTTTTCTGTTGGGATGGTCAGCAAGTGTCAGGGTATGACCTGCTGCTACTGCTATAGCTAACAGTTCAGACAGCGACTGCATGTGGAATGGCAGGTGGACATGCACTTCTCAATTCTAAGCCAATGTCGCTCTTTAGGTATGTTCAGGAGTTACACCTGTTCAAAATACAATTTCTCCTTTTCTTATTTGTTACAGGACAGGCGGTTTTGTTATGGAGTCCTTTTTTTTGTAAGAAATAGTAGTTTCTTACAGAACAAAAATGAACTAATCTTTAATGAACTAATCTATGATGTTAATATTGCTAGTTAATTTTAATGAAGTTTTCTCTCCAGTTGTTTTCACTACTTTATTTCAATTATTTCTTTTGTAAATATATACTAAAAATTTATTTCTTCAATTATGGCATAAATACATGGATAAGTACGTGAGTTACTACGAATAGCAATGTAAATCATATTCTTTGACATTTATTTCCTCAGATTTAAAGACATAACTGCTATGATTTTGAGCAACTCATTCCTAATCAAATTCATAGAAGTTATGCACTTCATACCACTGAAAATTTGACCCATGACTACTTACCATGGTGCAGATATCATACTGAGGGCCAGAGTATAAAAGCTAGTCATTTTAGCATTCACTTTAACCAGATACCCCTGGAAGAATACTCGGTAGTGATTCTCAACAGCAGAAAGAAAGTTGGAAGGAATAAGGCATGTAACTCACTTCGTTTTTACTTTATTTCACTTTCCAACTTGAGAAAGAGCAGTTAAAATATTTCATTAAAATGCACCAGACAATAATTATATCCTGTCAGAAGCACTGCTATGCTTAAACATATTCAGAAATCATCAACTAAAGCTTAGAAACTGATAGAAAAATAGTGTCTGTCTCTGTTGCTACTGTTCTACCTGGATTAACTCAGCTGCATTAAGCACAACAGTATTTATGTTGCCAGTTCCTGGAGCAGAGGCTCACATGGTCTCCTAGGAGGTGCTGACAAACAGCTCTGCAGAATGAAAAAGAAAGAACTTAAGGGTCTGGTGGGGAGCAAGCTACACTTGAGTCGTCAAGAGCGGAACACTCAGTTTGCTCTCACAGTTGCTATTCCCAGAAGTCTGTCCTGCAGAGGACAAACAGCAGCAGGTGTGAATGACTGACTAAGCACAGGGAACTTAGTAATGTTATGTTGGCAAAAATTGTGACTGTCCCTTTCTGTTTCCTATGAGTTAATTTACCAGTGTTTTTAGAAAATAGTCCTTTATCTTACTAAAACAAATTAAGTAAACTATGTCCTTTTATATTCAGAAACCCAACTGATGGCATGTTCAGTTTTGACTCAAAGCAGACTGGTTTTAAAATAACGTAGTTTACAAATGTAGCAAATGGAAAGGGCAAACAAACTGTAGAGCAATGGTAGCCTGTGAAAAGGGATGCCTAGTATGGAAAGGCCTGAGGGAACGGGCAGGATGTAGTGGATGTGGGACTCAGGATGTCTCCTAGTTTTGCAAGGGAAGCAAGCATCAGGACAAACCAGTTCTTTTTGCAGAGATGGTGTGAAAAGGAAGCAAGGGAACATTAGGCTGGCGTTGTAACAGAATGGGAGAAAAGCATGAAGTGGGATGGCTAAATGTAGAATTAATCCCATTATTATTAAACTGCTCCATAAATGCCAAGCTCAAATCTCGGCCAGATACTAAAAACTGATCAAGACAGTACTAAAACATGTGTAATGGAAGCTAAACCTTGGCAGGAGCTGGAAGATATGGAGGAGTATAGCTGCTTCCCTGGGCTGGCTTTGATCAATGACACTCAATCATCAACGCCAATTCTTTCCTAATAAAAGACTTTTTTTTTTTTTTAAGTAGTACTTGCAGATAGAGGGGAGCAATAACATTGAAAATGTTTCCGTGTGAGTATAGCTGCTATCCTAAGCCAGTACTGCAGTTAATGTGGACCTGTGCCTTTTCAAAATCCAAGTTTCAAAGGCAGCTGTGGGACAGCCTTCTGCACTGCCATGTCACTGTCTTCTAATATTGCACAAGTGACTGGCACAACCTACTCAAACCTTACCTCCAGTGACTGAACTGTTCAGTGAGCCTGTTGTTCACTTTCCTGTACAGACCAGCTCATTTTGTGTTGTCATAAGGACTGGAAAAGGGAAGTGTCTAACCACACAGGGTGGCTCCTTCTGTGTTTGTTTTCACAAGGCAGATTGCAAGCAGAACTCTGGTGATAACCTCGGCATCTGGCATATCTACTGATGCTGCTTGTCAAACTGGCCCAGATCTCTTCTCAAGTGCTCCAGTCTCTGAATAATACTTTCCAAATACTTACATTAAGCCCTGTGCCAATGAGCCCCAATTTCACCCCGTCAATTCATGATTTTTTAGTGCAAGTGAAGGCAGAACTGAAGCTTACTGCCTAACTAACGCTAGCCTGAAGCAAATGGTATTTAGCTTATTTCCCCAAAGATACAATCCTAATGATATTGCTTTTGCTGAATAGAAGAGCTATCCAAGTTTAAAATAGTGCTTTAAAAGAAAAATTGTAGGAAATGTTAGTTTGGGGAGTGTCAGTGGAAAAAATATTTGTTGACTTGATTGGATTCAAGTGGATGTTTTAAGTCCTCCCAGTTTATTTCTCCTCAACCTCTCAATGAATTGCTTCTTTGAAGAACTTGTGTCTCAGTTGATACAAATCTCCCAGTCAGCATCAACACTCAGGGCTAAGTTTCCCAGTGTCAGCGCAGAGGTCTTCGTATCATATGTGAAAACCACTTCCTTTTCTTTCCCACCTGAACAGGACAAGAGAGTTTACTATTTGATTTACGAAGAACTCTTCTGAAACACAGTTACATATGACTCTCTTCAGTTTTTAATTCTGACTGACCCTGCCAGTGGTGGAAAGAATCGATTAAAAAAGAAAGAGAAGACAAATCTGCCCAGAATACACATAAGAATGCAGCAGAACTGGAAAATAATTATTTCTCTTTCTCTGATCTTTCAAACTATGGTACGTCAAACTGTGGTACTATTAAAGGATTTTTCAGAAAAAAATAACCCTTGTTTCTGCATAGGTTTTCCTCCAAACACCCCTGACAGGTAGAGGCAGAAACTCCATTTCTCCATGACTCCCAAAGTGAAGGAACATGTCTCAAAATCAACCAGAAATTAGAAGCCCTTTCTTGTAGATGCCACTGCCTATCCATATAAGATCCCTCACAACTTCTAGAGAGCCCCACATAAGTAAGAACTCCAGAGCTTTTGAATAAGCAAGAAATCTGGTTTTGTCTGCAAGTTTCCTGTTCTAGACAAGGCAGGTTTACAGATCTGAGCAAATGGGCCTTCATTTGAAATGCTATCTCTGGTCATGTTCCGTGCAGGGCAACATTGTCTGAACTTGTTAATTCCAAACCACTTTTACTGATGTATCTATTGCCTTACAAAGCCAGTGTGCTTCAGTTCTGCACATAATAATAATAGCTGCTGGCTCCTTTCACTAAATTCTGTCCTTGATACCAAAACAGTAGCAAAGAAAACTAAACAAAGAGGCTTTGTATGCTGTAACACTTCCATTATAGAGCTGTCAGTTTGACATCTCTAGTGAATGGCTGCAGAGCAACAGGATTTCAAAGAACTGTAGTAAAATAGAAGTCAGTTCATTACCCTTGGAACTGGCTGTCACAAAAGTAGGTTGCTTTCCAAATCCCAGAACTATCACCCGCTCAACCACACATGAGGTTTGGTATTGTCCGCTTTCATCGGCGCAGCTGAAAAAAGAAAATTATTTTATATACATTAGTTTTTGGCCAACAGTAGAGGTTCAGTATCATACAGAGAAAGTACTACTTTGGTCTCATCCTGAAAGTTTCCTATACTGGTTTCCTTTCCTCTATTTACCTTTCTCCTAAAAACAAGTAAAACTTTCTCCCACTGTCACCTAATTTTTCACCACATATCAGATTTAACAAATACAGAAGAAAAAGTTTGAGAAGGTATTTTATGGCAAAAAGTATGGCTTTGACTACTAGGAAAGTTCTGGATTTTCACAAAACAGTAGTTAAAACTCCTGGGAAAAAATGTAAAGCTAATTTTTAACACTTTTTCAAGTAAGATGTTTCAATCTGAGGCAAAATTATCTTTCATTTTGTAACTAATTTAATTTTTATTAAAAAGCTCAAAAAAACTCAAATCAAAATGAAACTTTTTGCAGTGAACAAATGTTGTATCATTCATCTGAAAATTACTTTTTTCCAACTTCTACATTTGCTAGCAATTTAGCAAAATTTTTCTTTCCCATGCTGTATTTTTTAAGATCTTCAGACTGAATATTCCAGATCAAGAGATTTGAATTATACTTTAAAATTATCCAAACTAGACTACAGTTTTGCTCTGTGCTATATTTTTAGCTTTAGGAACACTGTCTGCATACATTTGAACCCTGAAGGACTAAAGAATGTCTGCAGAATCACCATTTATGCACTGCACAGCCCCATTGGCACCATACTTCAATAGTAAAAGTGTTATAGTGAGGTATCTAGCATCTTGTTCCTCACAAGCAGCTAAGGTTCCTTTTGGCTTTTAGGTTTTGCCACACAGCCTTTGCAGGTTGTATCTGCTTGTGCCTCCTTTTAAGTGCTTTTCTTCATGCCAATATACATGGTGAAATTTGGGGATTACTTTTGGAGAATACAATGGCATGTGTTTGTGGTGCCCAGACAGAAGCATTGAATATCTCAAGTTGGAAGTGACATATGAGATTCAAGCCCAACTCCCTGCTCCTTCCAGAACTACCTAAAATTAAATCATATGAATAAGAGCATCATCCAGATGTGTCTTGAACTGTGATAGGCTTAATGCCTTGACCACTTCCCTGGGAAATATGTTCCAGTAACCAACCACTCTCTCAGTGCAGATTATGTTAGAAAACTACACCTTAGAACAAAAACCACTCCAGGTGTTGCCTACTTGCAAATCTCCTGGTTTACCTTCTTTTGTCTCTCTGATGGGCTTTACCCTTTGTAATGACTTTCTTTGTACTTGAATAAATCTGCAGAATCTCTAATTTGACTAGACTGAAACAATATGACTAGACTGAAACAATATGAGACAACTCAGCATTTCATGTGTTGCTGCCCTTAGACTTATGCAGAACATTGTTTATCTCTGCAGTTTTATGACAGATTCTGCACACTCTGGGACTTCACTAAGAAGTAGATGACACTAATACTGCTACATTTGCAAGAAGGCCTCATGAACTAGAAAAGATATTTCCAGTGACAATGTATGGGTGGCTTTTGTCCACAACTGCTGTTACCTGGAAGTGAGAATGTTCTTGTGGAAAGTGAATTTCCGATATAGGAACTGCTTCTTGTGGAGGTACTGAAATGAATGTCCATCATCTACATAGAGCTCACCTATGGCACAGGCCTGTGAAACACACCAGAAGGAGCACAAATTAACAGCAGTTTCTAGTGCTGAACAATGAAACTAAAAATGTCTCACTATATGTTACACTTCATATTGAAGATGTGTGTTTATTTTTCTTTAGCAACTTGTATCCCTGGAAGGCTCAGGCAGTCCAACTCCGAGAGTGCTGGACATCTCGGTTTTGTAAATGGATGCCAGTGTCAGGTGTCACCTCATTTATTAGAAAAGACAGTTGCAGGAAGCTCTCTCTCTATGTCCAAGGGGAAGCTTGTGGCCTGCTCATTCTCTGCTCCTTCCTCCAAGGGACTAGATGAGGGCTGAGAAAGGTTAGAAAAATGTTCTGCCTCTGCTATACTCAGACAGCCTCACTTTGAAGGAAGAGTGCAGGAGAGGTGGAAGTCCTCTCAAATTGCAGAAGTGGAGAAGAGCCACTGGGCATACAGATGTAGATACCATTGTGCTGATCAAATAGGCAGTAAGGGCCTACAAAGGTCAGATGGAGTAGAAGACATCTTTGTAAAAAGGGAACACTATCTCAAAGTACCTCTGTGTCCAAGGCCACATGGAGTTCATAAGAAATATCTATCATCCATTCAGTGGATTTCCCAGCTGTGGTCTTCAGAGGTATCACAGTGCCCCCCCGTTGGAACACAGGAATCTGAGAAAAACAAAGCCAGGGTAGAAAGGTTCATATACTCTGATCATATAATTTTAACATAGATCAGGAATAGCTGAAGTTTTCTCTTATCAAAATTTAGAAGTGAACTTCTACGACAAATATATAGAGACAATGGTTCAATTAACAATGGGAATAGTAGTAACTTTCTGTATGTGTATAAGCAAAATAATTTTGCCTGGAAGAGTCACCCTCACATCACCTCACTTTACTACCAGGACACAGTAGTGTTCTATCTAGCAATAAAGGAGATGGGACTTTTCAAAAACAGCTATTTTAGGTTACATTTCTACAAAGAAATTGAAATGTCACTTTTCTGATTATGATTATTGACAAAACAAAAGCTAAGGTGTTTTTTCTGCTCAAAGGAAGTAGCATTTTAAAACAAAAACATACATTCTCTAGTGTTACTGGGATCTTCAGAGTGCCTGCATCTTCCATCCGTTTAAATTTTCTGAAATCATACCAAATCTAGAAAAAATGAAAAAATAATGAGCATGACATCTATGGTGAGATTTGTTCCCTCTGCAGATGCAGTTACTCTCCTGCTTAACCTGTCACTGTTCCTAACAACCCATTTGATGTGCAAGAGGAAACATTCACTTTTCAAATAAATGACCTTTTGGATGGAAAGAATCAATTCTCATTCCTGAAGCACAAAGATAATCTGATCTTTTCTACAGTTTGCATAATATCTTGTATGTCTTAAAGCATCTGGAGTGCAAAACAATGAAACGCTTTTTTTTTTTAATCTAGTTCCTGAAAAAGTATATTTATATTGAAGTGAAAATTAACAACAAAGTTGCTAATAACAGGTGACAAAAAAGAGCTGCACTGGAACTTCCCACACACACTTGCCAGGAGGTTTAACTGCTTTTAGTGTGCAAGCAGTCAATTCCTACAGAGACCTTGATAAAAATATTTTTCTTGTTTGGAGAGCCTAGTCTGTTTTTCTCCCTACACTGAGAAGAATTCTACATGTCCTCAGGTGCCCTAGTGGAGTCACAAGGCTCTGCATGGTGTCACACACTCCCCTTTGTTGTTTACCCTCTAGAGTCTCAGGCTTTCCCTTATTTCCCCAAATTATTTCCCTTCCTCCACCTCTCAGCTGCTGTAGCGTTAACACTCTTTGTAGGAGTGGACGACTGTGCCATCCTGTGGATAAATACTTTTACTTCAGAGAGGAACTGATCTCTGTATGTCAGTCTTTGTTACACATGTTCCAGGCTACTGAGCCTTGTATTTCCTTGTTAAAATTTTCCCTCCCCACAGCTTCCCTCTAATTTCCTTATGACCTTTCTTCAAAGTTCCCTTTTTTCCACATAAAAAGTGAAGTTTAACCCAAAGAGAAATACATGAAAACAGGAAATTGACAATTTAGTGAAGCTGTTTTATGGTGTTCAGTGAGAAGCAGCAAGCCTTGAGAGAACATTTAAATTATAGGGAATCTGAGATTTGTGCAGCAGCTCTTGGACAAGCAAGAAAGTAAATTTCCTGTGAGCCAAGCATGCAAGGTATCAAGGTGGAAGGAAGGGTTCAGAATGGCTCAGGATGGCTGGCCAGCACTTGGCATGGCAGCAGTGCTCAGCAGTTACAAGATGGGGAGCTGGAAGGTTCCTGCATAAAATACTTCTTTGAGCAGAACAGCTGAGCAGTTCATATTCATCCTTACCTCCTCTGACCCTGGAAGCAGAACACTCACTGTCTTGGCCTCTTTCTCTGTGACTGGATGTACCAACAAAGCATTTCCTGGAAAAAACCCATGAACATGGCTGTGGTCCTCAAGGCTGCATCTCACCAGAGCAGAAACTGTGTGCTCTGGGGTTTTCAGCCTCCCATAACCATTTTAGGAACTTGCTTGGGCATGCCATATGCTTAGGTTCACTTTCTACTGGAAAAAATGGCATGTGTAAGGAGCTGATGGCTACCTGACTTCAGCAACCAGCCATACCGGAGTGAAAAACAATCGTGTTTGGGTGGTAGTTGTTTGCTACTGCCATTTTTGAACAGACTATGGTCTAAGCTGCTACAGTGAACTTTCATGTTTCAGGTAAAACCCAACCATGTTTTTTCAAAGTGACTAGTGAGATAAAACTCAATTTTTGCATCTTATATGACCCCCTACTTTCAAAGTGCTGTTAAAACCAGGTCCCTTAAAGAGGTCTCAAGTTCTATATTCAATTACAATATAATTTTTTAAAGTCTTGGGCAGAATTTTTGTGTTTTCTGTTATGCATACTTTACCACCTCAAAAGTATTTAAGTCAAATTCCAGAGAATAAGACACCTGCTTACCCAGCATGTACTCATACTCCACGTCAAAAGTTTCTGTTTTTCCTGGAAACTCTACCCAGAGAGGCCTGTAGAAAGAAAGATAGTGGAATTCAGTTACTTTTTCCTCTCCAGTCAGCCCGTTCAAGTCCTTCTGGCATTTTCAGGCTCCATTTTCTCCCTCTCTTTCCAAGGTACAGCTTACCAAGAACTGAAGATAGGGCAAGGTTCTCTTCTGTGCCAGGTGACTCAAAGTACCCCTTTGAGTCACTGATAAAAGAGTCCCCAGTACAACATGGCTTATGACACTCCAGTATACCTATGACTTCATCTCCTGCAGCCTCATTTTCTTCCCTCCTGCCTTCTTCCTTACAAACTTGCACTACTTCTACCTTTCTTCTAGCAAAGGAGAGATGAATGAGCCTTTCTGATACAGTGTACCAGCAATGCTGGCAGCTGATGAGCCAGTCCCTGCAGCACAGTTCTTCCTGTTCTCAACAGCTCACTGCTGCTTCTATAGCAAGTTTCCTCCTGGTCACACCTGAAAAACCTGCACCAGAAGTTAATTTTCAGTCTTTCTCAAAAACAGGAGTTGTATATTTAAAGTCTGAGAGATTATGACAATGATACCTCATTGAGAGACAGGGTCTGGGTTTCCTTACACAAAAAGCCTGGCTCACCTTCTTACTCATAGGCATCCACTTGTTCTATGCAGCCCTGCTCCTCCTGTGCCTGCTAATGAGACACATTTTCCACTCTGCATGTCTTAGTGAGAAAAATATCATGTTTCCTCTCTAATTCTGTACCTACTGCACCAAATTTAACACAATAGAAGTGTTATTTAATACTGTGGGCAATTCACATGTCAACATAAGCTTCACTTCAAGAAAGACAGAAACCCACTGTCTATGTCAGCACATACAACAGGTGCATCTTGGCCTATATATGTGCAAATCATCTTCAAAACCCAAATCACTCAACCATTCCCAAAAGCACCTTTATGTTTTTAAAACTTAGGAGATGTATCTGCATAACAATACGTAAAGGTAAATGTGGTGTGAAAGAACAGTTCTAGGGCAACCTCGAAGACACAGAAATCAATAGCAGGGAGGTTACTGACATTCATCTCTTGCTGAAAGAATTGCTGGATTCAGTTCCATTGAAGCACACTCTTAGAGGTTAGAGAGCAGCAGAACAAAAATTTATTTTCTAATTTCATTTCTGTTCTATATTATTAGATACTCTGCTAAGAGAAACATTACAAGGGATACTGCAGACATAAATTATGAACTTATTAATGTGATGTAAGCTTTTAGAACAATAATGATTAAGCAGTAACAAGTATTTTCATGAGGGGCAAAATGGCATTTACATATTTAGGTCAGCAAGTTCAGAGTCCATTAAGCACTGTTTTATGTACTGGTTGGACTACTACATAATGTTCTTTATCATGACGGGAAGTTTGAAGTCTACAGTATTTTAAAAACATGTTTAAAGACAGTGAAGTGTTTATTGAATTAGTGTGTTCCAGGTGTCATTTGGAAAAAAAACCAAAACATATAATTTTCCTCTGAGAACCCTAGTAAAGCTTGCAGAATGCATGAAAATAGAATTCACTATTATTATAATTTTTGTGTGTGTTTTTGTAATTTTTTAATATTCAAATAAGCAATCACAAAAGTAAGAGAGGCTAATTTAACTTCCCTTCTCCAAGTAACTTCCTGAACATAATCACTAAATCACCTGACTTATGTTCTTACCTCATAACTGGTTCAGCCGCTGTGTGTGCCCGATAGAACAGTGTGTATAAGTAAGGCAGGAGGACGTAGCGCTCTCTAATGGCTTTCCTGATGATCTGGGTGTTCTTCTCCCCAAAGAGCCACGGTTCTCGCCGTTTGCTCTCCATGTTAGAATGACCTCTGAAGAAGGGCTGGTAGGCTCCAGCCTGATACCAGCGAACAAGTAATTCTGGTTCTGGATCTCCAATAAACCCTCCCACATCAGCTAGATATTGCGCAGACAAATAAAAATACACATTTTTGGAAATTATTCTGAAAAATGTGAAACTCTCCTCTAACAAGCATTCCAAGTGTATAAAATCCATGCATTTCACAGTGTGCTCGCTGTTCTGCTTGGTGTAACAAGTTATCCTTTAAAAAAAATCTCAAGAGAGCTTTTGAAGGCTGAGTACCTTTCTCAGTGACAGAGGACTGTCACAATGATGCTACAGAACACCACCTGAGGACTGCTGCTCCGGAGGGACATGAACATCACGTTAGAGCTAGCGGAGAAATGATGATGACAGCCAGGTTTCAAGCTTCTGAAACCAGACTGATCTGTGAAACTGTCTGGAAATGCACTGGTCTGTTGAGCTTTCCACCATCTGTGTTGAAGCCTATGTTGGGAATACAAGCTTGGTGACACCATTTATGCTTAGTGAGAAACACATTACCTCCACAGAAGGAAATCCCTGCCAAGCTGATGGTAAGAAGCATTGGAATGGATATTTTCAAGTAACTCCACTCTGCTGTGTTGTCTCCAGTCCACACTGCCCCTGGAAATACCCAGTTTCAGCATTATGCAGGAAAACCAAGCGTATACTTCAATTTATGCTTGCAGTTAAGGAAAGAAGACAAGAATAGACATGAACCACTCGTGAACTGCTGTACATTGGAACTTTTTTTTTTTTATACATGCATGTTCCTGAAATATGTGGTAAAAAGCAGGCAGTGGTTTGCCACAGGATGAAGGTTGTTATTCTGCCTTTAACTTGTACATGTTTTGCTAGCCTTTCCTGATTTTTTTAATCACTTGCTCTCTTATGAGCTCACCATGTCAGCATTTCTAAGACAATTTCTCTCCTCTCTAGACTCTTATCCATCAAACTTAATAGAACAAAGCAGCAATGAAAGCATTCAGCTAGTCCTTACCATACTTCTGTGATCCAGCAAAGAAAGATCGTGTGAGGACAAATGGCCTCTCTTTTCCTGAAGAACGTCTGATGAGTCCTTCTGCAGTTGCCATTTGCTGAAAATCATGAATATAAAAGCCAGGAAGATGAACTTTTTAACTAGGGTATTTTCTAGACTGCCTCTTTAGCCCTTCCAACTGAGAAAAATTAAGAACCCACAAATAATACCTATTATTAAAGCAACAAATTCTTATTAGAATATAATTGAATGAAAAATTCTTAATATTGTGTAGTCACAGTCGATGTAATTTACATTGTTATGATAGAAAGGCACAGATGTCACATTTTCTTGTGACCAATCACATAGTTTATTCCAAATATTGCAATATCCAGCACAGCAGAATCCTTGATGAAGGCTACAGAATACCTAGTACTGTGTAAAGTACCACATTAGACATACTCCATGGGAGTGACTGCTGTTTGTGTCTCCAGATACTCTACCTGGTAGAATCCATAGAGGTTGTGTACTTCCCGATGCTCCCAGTTATTGTAGTGCACAGCATCTTTCTGCATTGTTAGTTCTGCCCCTTTGAAGACTGAAGGCTCATTCATGTCATTCCATACAAAGAGGATATTAGTGGATCCCTGTAAAACAGGGCTGCAATTAGGTCATGACAGAGCCATTGCTGTGACTTAGTGTGTTTATCTCTAGTGGGTGTCAGACCAGTCTGGGGTGTGACTAGAAACAGCAGCAGTAAAGCAAGACATGGTAATTACACTTCTGAGGTCACTTGAAAGTTGCCAGTTGTTCATCTCATCTCTCTTGGAGGCCCTTCTGGTCAGGGTAGCAGCCTGCAAGCCCACTTGCCTTTTGCAATTCTTACAAACTCAGTAGGCACTTGCTATTTCTGCCTTCCGGTGAGGGAAAGAGGTAGGGAAAAGAGAAGTATTAAACAGATATGAGGAAAAATCAGAGAAGGCCGGAGGTAAAAAACTGGAGAGGAAAAGCAGTCTGGGAAATATGTACCATGCATGTCTGCTAGGAGAGTGGTTTCAACAACTCTACTGCAAACTAGAACTTTGGGGCAGGGTGGGGGAACTGGAGGTGTCCAGCAGTGGTTGATCAGACACTTTCAGCACTAGGCAGGACGGTCAGAATAAAGTGACTACGAGCTATGAGAGAGCACTTCCACATTGCTCTTTGTGTGCTATCACGGTAGTAAAAGATGAAATAGCAGCAGCTGGATTAGATTATGCAGCAGGTGATTCTTAAAGTGCCTGAAGTTTGTCCCTTCTACTGCTGCAACTAAGTGAGCATGTCCACTGGTGGCATACGGATTTCAACTATCTTAGTTGAGACAAGTCCATGGAGAAAATCCTTCTATGGTGCTTCAGCTTATCAAGATATTTTCCTCTACATTACAATAATACAGCTACAAAAGCCAACAAGTTGCTTAGCCAGTATCTTCTTTTTCTTCTCCATTTTCAGGCCTTCTGGGATATGTAGATCAGAGCAAATAAATACAAACCTTGTATGTTTTGAAGGCAAATTGATCTGCATACCATTTTCGCACTTCAGGATTGGTGAAATCCAGGTAGCAAGAGGAACCTGTGGATATCGGAGATCCCAATTATTTACCTGATTTTAAGAGCATTGTCTTTGCACCTAAATACAGTGGCCTAAAGCTACAATGCTTTTCACCAGCAGCAATAATGTAGTCACTATTGTTTCTGAAATAAAAGCTCAAGAGCAAATTCCAGGCTGACTTGGAACTCAATACACCCCTTGCCCTATCAACACATGTAGATTCTTGAGGTCTGAAGTTCAGCACCCTTTAAGGATGACTGCTAACAGTCTGAAACATGTTCAGATGTGAACAGGAAGCCAGGGAAAGACAACATCCCTGGTATTTTGAACTCAAACAGGAAAGTGTCACTGAGAAGCTGAATAACTACATCGTGCCCTGCTACTAGAAGTTGTAACATGTCCTTGAATTTTCCCATAATCGCTCCTTTGCCAGGACTGTGAGCTTCCTGTCTGTAAAGAAGTGGGACAACCTGCTTTGCCTCTACCCAGTGAGATCTCCTTATGAAAAATAACATGTCAAATCACTATATTAAAGGTTCAGTACCAGGGGTTCACTTAATTTCATCCACCCTACATAAGCTGTGCTCACTGCAACAGATCAGACTGCATTTCTGTATCCAAGACAAGTTTGGAAGAGGAATGGTTGTTCTCATAAACAAATCCAATTTTTTTAGTTCTAGGTACTGGTTCTATCTGCAGATTCAATAGATGTAACAGAGGACGTTATACAGCTGAGGCAATTAGAATATGACTATATCAAAGAAACCACAAAGAATTTGAAATTATTAATATTTACAAAAAATGTAAGGAATGTAAGACTTTAATTTCGCTTCCATGGATACCAATTACAGTATTCTGCAAAATTTTTAAAATAAACAGCTAAAATATGGAGACAGAGTGGTTTTTTACCTGACCAACAGATGCCCTCAAAATCTTGCCCATTTCTGTCTTTCACAAAATATCCCTTGTCTTTTGCCTGTGAATACAGGGTATATGTGGGATCAACCTTAATGTGTGGATCTACAATGACGACAAGCTGACAGGAAAAGAAAATAAAATCATGATTAGCATCAATTGTGCTTAATAAAACAGTAAGGGTTCACTTTTGATAAAAGGCAGAGAATGATTTCACCTCAGGTAAAAAAGACAGCTGTGTCACTAATTTTAAAAAGCAGTTACCAGTTCTTGTATATACTGTGCTAGACTTACATATAGGAGCTGACCTTATAAGGAGGGCATGAACTCAGGCTTACCTCTCTGAAACAAAGGACAAACCCCATTGTTTCAGGTAAAAGCAAGTATCCCAACCCCTAAAAACACTGTGTTTTTTTCACTGCTGTATTCTGTGAATGGGAAAATATCTGCCTTACACATTCATGTGCCTGCTTAAGATCATATGCCTTAAGATGTTTAAATATATTTTAGTTTGTGTAGGATACAACAGCAACAGATACTGTATTTTGTAGTTATTTTCTGCTGCCTTTAACTGCTTTGCTGCATAGCTGACAAAGTACTATAGCTCCAACCGAGAGATTATAAAACTTGAATGCTATTTCAACACTTCTCCATTCATTGACTTTTGGCGAAGATCAATAATTAAGCAATTCTACAACTTTAAGATATTGTCTGCATTTTAATTCCTCTATAATTATAAGGAAAATATTTTAGCTGTAAAAGCAGAAACACAAAGCAAAGCTGAAGCAAGCACAGCAACTACCAACAGTGAAAGCTCATGTTAGGAAGAAAAATTTTCTGCTGTGTCCATCATGGCACTGAACTGCTTCTGTAAGACAGAGCTTCACGTGAGTCAAACTTAGCCTGATAGTCAGGATACACAACAAACTACAAAATAAAATGGCATGAAGAACTGAATTAAACATGATAGCCTGTATGCTGTAAGCATCATCAGACAGCAACAGTCTAATTTACTCTGTTGTAGTTAAGCTGTTTTCAATATCTGAAGTACTTAGGTTAAAGCTAGATTGGGTAGACTCACACTACAGAGAAATATTTTCTTTCTTCCAGTGTTTTTACCTTGCGTTTTTTCTTCTTCAGATGTTCTTGCATCTTTCTGGGGTTCTGGAATTTCTTTTTGTCCCAAGTAAAATACCTCTTGCCATCTGTGTGCTCTATGTCCAGCCATATCACATCATAAGGAATGTCATGTGCATCAAAGCCAGCATCTACTGCCTTGACATCTTGCTCATCCTCATAATTCCACCTGCACTGATGGTAGCCCAGAGAAAAAAGGGGAGGCAGGGCTTGAGTGCCTAGGAAGAGTATATGAATGAAGATAAAACTGTTAATATCCTTCAAGAATTTATCTAGAGACTCTAGAAAAAGTTAACATGATTAATATGTGTATCTCTGGAGCTAGGGAATGCTGGCCTAAATTCTTCATACCAAAGTGACTAACTCTTGAAATAATGAGCATTACAATGAGCTCAGCAGTCAGAAAGAGCAAAGGGCTGTAATGATAAAATGAGAGTGAGAAGGAGTTTGCTGTTCCGTGATGCTGAACTGTTATTCCAGTAACCAATATAATTTTATTCTTTATCTTTTTCTAATAAATAATATTCCAGATTAGTTTATCTGTCATTAATGCAAACAATTACACAAATTTTAATCAGTACAATGCAATTTCTGTGACTACTTGAGTAGTGTAAACAGGTCCACAGGTGCTACAGTACAAGGAGAACCACTGGAACTGAACTTGTTAGGAATTTTTAAAATTAGCAAACATGCTTGTATGTATGCATACAGGAAAAGGGAGCTAGGAAACTTTCCTGAGCATTCACTTCTGCTTGGCGAGATCTTCTTGGAACCTGGCTACTTTTCTATTTCCTTTTAGCTGAACCGCGTTCTCTTCATAACGTCTGTGCAGCAAAGAAACATTGCTAACAGACTAAGGAACTACCAGGAATATTTAGGTACTTTAATTCTCTTAAGTACACAAAGAATGTTGCTTTCATAAAATGTTAGTCCCCTTTTCTCCATTTTTTTTACTTTCTTCCAGAGGCTCTTGTTTCTTTCCTTTCCCATATATGCATGGGGATGTATTCCCTTCCCTAAGGGGCACAGTGGACACTTAACTATCTTATTTCTCTAGTGTCCAGGACACATTACTTCATAACTTCAGTCATTTCACATTATAAGGTGGCCTGTCTTAATGGTGACTGGCAGTTTTAGCCCCTTATATCTCCCCTCTTCTTCTAAGGGTGCAGTTTCAGATAGCAGTAATTATGCTGGCTTCTCAATTAGGGCCAAGTTTGACCAGCTGCAAGTGCTAGGGAAAACAAGGACGGAAGCCAGTCTTCACAAAGTCCCGGCCTTTGCTCTACACACTGCAGCTTGGGAACAACTGCTCACAATGGGCTAGGTAAATATTAACCTGCTCTTGGGTACAGCATGTTCCTCAGAGAATCTCCCAGGTAAATGCGCCAGACTGACTCCAGTTACGTGAGTTAGTACCTGTCAGTTGTGCAAACTGCTTGAAGATATCAAAGGCAGTGGGTCCCATCAGCAGGAAAACATCAATGATTCCGCTTTCTGACATCCAGCGTACATCAGTTACAGGCACTGCTCTCTGCTTAGCAGTCTCTGCAGCAGATCTAGATGACATGTGCTTTGAAGGAAACCAAGGTAAAACTGAATCTCTCTCAGCCAAACTTTTAGTCAATGAAGGAGCAAAGACGGAAACACACGAAATTCACTAACACATACCTGGCACGCATTAGAAATACACACTGAATGTTTCTTATATATCCTTCACAAATCCTTTACCTTGCATACTGCTTATACAAAGTAGAGCAACAGTTAATGAAGAAAAATGGGTAATGAGGGGCAAAATAATTAAAACTTTTCTGTAATTACAGACTATGCATTTTCTGTTGGATCTTTCAGTAATACCTATATCATAAGTAAAAAAGAAAATTAATAATTTTAACCACATAATGTGGTGCTGGAACAAAGCAAGATTTTCCTTTTCCTCATTGTTTCAATTTTAATAGAATTCATGTTTGTGTTTCAAGAGTTTGAGTGAATTTCTTTGCCAAACATTCTATGTTTCTTGAAGGTCAATTACATTTCACAGAATGAGACTGCTTAGCAGAAATGTGTGCCAATACCAAGAATTTAAAAACTTTGAGAAATTCCTTAGATACAAGAGATTGTCAAGATTTTTGTCCACCCTTTCTTCTGCCTGCTACATACACCTGTGTAGATCTTTTCTGCTTATTACCTCTTTGCCTTCTCCTGGAGACCTGTTAAGATACAAGATCTATAACTCATCTCTTTGTTCTTTTCAGTGGCTTAATACAACAAATTTAGAACTAAGGAGAACAGGAGGAAGAGACTGACAATTCTTCATTAGGGAGCAAAAGATAAATCTCCAATAATGTTGTTACATTCCTGTTGGCCCTGCCCTGAAGTGTTTTCTTTTGTTATTAAATTCTGAGGAAAGTGAATAATTCTCACCTCAGCTACTGCCTTTGTACTAATATCCACCAGCGTTTCTGAAGAGTTCAGCCAGAAGACCCCTGAAGTTCTGTTAGGCTTGTGTGCTAAGAGAAGGGGCACTGAACCATAAATGCCTATTTTATCATGTATCTTGTGGCCGAAGATATCCAAATTATAAAGCCGGTAGGCATCACCATCACTAGGACAAACAAACAGATGCATTTATTATGTGTAAGCATCCTGCACCAGGCCAATTTTAACTCTATTGCCATTCCGCTAAACTTGGTGAATACTCGGTAAACACTCTGTATTGTGGCCTTTTGTTTGGCATCCAGAGCTGAAATATGGGCAGCCTAGATTACTGCTTCTTTGCTTTGGTCCTCGCTATCTGAATCAAACAAGATTTTTGCTGCCAGTGAGACTGTTTGCTCTAAATCCTAAAATATGATTTCTGAACTCTCTCATCGAGTTACTCTTTTAGGAGTTCTGCTAAAACATGATTGATCCTGAAGTCCAGAAAAAACTGAATGGAAAACTGAGGGATAACAGAAGAGGCCATTTATGAAATTGCAGAGCGGAAAGAGAAAGCTGAACAGCTTACTCTACATGGATACTGGTTTGCTGTATAATTAATCTAAAATATACACTATATGATATACATGTCTGAAGCTGTTGTCTGCATTAAAGTATTAAGACAATGTTATAGCTCTCCTCTACAAAAAAACCCCAACTGCACTCATTAGCAATATGGCACCTTTACCTGGTGTTTTTGAGAAGAAGTGTTTCTGTGTGTTGTGGTATTCCATAAACGTGATCATATCCATGTAAAGAGAAGTCCATGCCTACAGAACTGGGACCTGTGGAAACAACATTAAAGAGAAGAACATAGAGTGCCATGCTCAGGCTTATTTGAAAGCAACAGAGCAGAGCAAACTTACTGGATAAAACAACTGAAAGTTGCAATAATTAACTCTTTCATACTTCTTTTCAACTTCACTTCCATTATTACTTTTGTTTCACAGAGGTAATGCTTTAAATAGACTTTATTGTATTTATTCTGGTTTTGAAGTTCTAAAGAAGATAAAATGAATCACTTTAACAGAACCTCCCCCCCAGACAAATCCACATAATCACGGACCACTTCTTTATTCTGCAGTGAAAGGCTTAAAATTATCTCCTGTTTCTATCCCAGTACATAAAAGCCAAACTTTGCAGCACAGTGGACTTCAGAGTCTGAGCTGCCTGTTTCCCACTGCTCTTCTCTTCAGCCTCAGCCAGCGGAGTAGCATGCACAAGAGTCCCTACCAGTGATATCATCTTGTCACAATACTGAATCCAGGATAACTTTTGGCAGGTGACCAGAGATCCTGTAGACTGACAAGCAGTGGCTTCAGGATCAGAACCTGACCACATGGACTTTATTCCTCCAACACAGAAAAAACCCTGATGCTGGCCTAATACATCAGATACAGCATGAACAATAGAGACAAGAGCTTCCTGCCCTCTCTGTCTTGACTGTGAACTGAAGAATTTTCTGTCACCAAAAGGGATCGCTTTCAGACCCCCCTCTCTCTACTGCAGCTGCTGGGTAGTGCTGGTTGCTATAGAACTCTGAATGATAGTGGTAATGAACAAAGCTAACTAACTTAATTAATACAGAATACAATGAGACAGACAGCAGATGGTCATACATTTTGGTAATTGATAATTTAAATTGTATTTGAACTCATGTGTATGTAACCTCCTTATCTCTTAGGATTGCTCAGTATTTCCTTTTGTAGTCCTCACTTAAAAAGAGTTTCTTTGTGCCAATTATTAATGCTTAGATATCATGATTTCTGATATGTCATGAGAATAAACTACAGGTGAAATCAATCTTATGTACTAATACTAAGAAAAGAACATACAAAGAAAATAATGTATTATATACATGTACACTCAGACAGCACATAGTGTTATACTGTGTCAGAAATGGGACAGTGAGTTGACGAAACAGATCACATTGACTGTGTTCCCTCTTGAACAGAAATCTAATGAATATTTGCAGTACTTTTGTCAAATTTGTTACCCATCACTGATTTCTGATTAAAACAAAGTTAAGACAACTGAAAAGCAGGAGTGAGTGAGACACTGATAAATTTTAAGCAGATAAACAGAAAGCAGACAGACAAACGAACACAGGTTTATACAAAGCAGCAAAGCTGTTCTCATAACTAAACTGAGGCTTACCATGAGCTTTGATGTCTAAGAAACTGCCAAATTTCTCTTGCCAGAGACCTAGATCCTCTTGTTTTTCCTGCACAAACAGAAACAGCTAAGCCTAGCAAATGCAACTGCTCACATCGTGTATTTCTAAGAAAAGTATGTTTTTTCACCATTGTTAACTGCTTTTTTGCCAATTATGGTTAATACAAATAAATCCAAACCACATTTAGATTCTGCTGCAGCAATTTACACTGCCAAACTGATATGCACGTGTTGCACATATGGCATCTGCTACAGTATAAAAGTAATACTCGAGGTCTTGGATAGAATCATAGAACGACAAAATAGGCCATTTTGGAAGGAGCCTCAGAAGATCATCTGGTCCATCATTTAATGGGAAAGGGAGCCTAGATGAGATTATCTAGCACCCTGTCGAAATAAATCTTGAAAACCAGAAGTGATGGGGACTATACCATTTCCCCGGGGAGGTTTTTCCAGTGAGTAATTATTCTCACTGTACAAATGGGTTTCTGCTGGATGCTGAATACGTTTTTGAAATGCAAAACTGCATGGATAGAACCAAACAGGAAAATCCATACAAACAGAAACCAACCTACTCCCCCAAAGAGTTAAAGTCAGACAACAAAAAAAACTCTCCAGAGACTTGGGAGTCCTGTGTGTGTAACTGATAGCTTTAGCCTCCTTGTGTCCTGTCATTCATTGTCCTAGGACTTCCACTTTTTGTAGCGTGTTTCCTAGTTTTCTTTTCTACATTCATCTCAGAATAAGCGTGGCCTCTTGCAGCTGTGTGACTGCCCTGGCAGAACTCAGAGCTTAGACATAAATAAGCTGAAGGCACATAGCTCTTGCCATTTACAACAGGATAGCAGAATAAGCAGCCATCTGCTCTACGGAAGGCTAAAATTATATCCCAGAGATAACTCAGCCTCTTCAGAAAAGTGCAGTGTGCCTCTATGCACTGCCAGGACCTGATATTTTTTCAGAGAGAATCTTACTTCTGTATTAAGCCTGAACATATGTGGAGGTGTAGTTTTTGACTGTTATTTTGAAACTGTCTTTGCAAGGAACAGGGAATTTGAAAATGACCGAATCACTACAAAACTCCCTTTTACATATCTACTCCAGATCAAATAAGAGAACATAAGAGAAAGAAATTATTAATAAAAAGGCCACGGAAAAAAATATTTTTGTGCTAGATCTACCTGAGTGATGTCTTCTACAGACTTGGTAAAACACATAAATCTTCACTGAACTAAGAATTTGCAAAATATCTCAATAGGTATACCAGGTCCTTTTTGGATTTCACTGGAAAGTGGTTAGACTGTATTTGTAAATGTAGTACCAGGTGAAAGGAAAATGTGATTTTAATTCCTTTTTTTACAAAACATTCATGCTGTGATTGCAGTAAGTATGAGTTACCTTAAAGTAATCACTTGCTGCCTCCTCACTTTGTGCTGTAGGTTTTCTAGTGAACACAAATACACAGAAATAATCAGTTTATTGTTAATATAAGCAAGGATTTCAAACAGAAAACTCGAATAGTACTATGCATTGCTTTATACATTATCTAAGAGTTTTGGTGCTTGACTATTCCGAAAATTAATTTCATAGCTGAGAACTTTAACTTGTGAACAATTTTAATATTCAATGCCTTAAAATAACCTTCACTCAATATTCAAGTTAGGTTGACTTCTTGACCTTTCATGTTTATTTCCATCTGTGTAAGCACTTTACCGACCCAGAAGATCCTCACTTCTTTATCATTCTGGTTTTGAAATAATGCTCTACAGGAGATACACTTGCTATGCTCTTTTTCTAGTCATGACATGTCCTGCATTGTGCTTTCTCATCCTTCCAGCACTTTGCAGTGTGATTGACCTGTCAAATCTTGCAGCTACATGGCACATTGTAAGTTGAACAAAACTTGACTTCAAGAGCTTATAAAGTGAATAAAACTTACCTAAAGAGTAAGTTTAGTGATAAAAAAGATGAAACTAATAACCTCATCATACTACTATCGCTCATTCTCAAGAAATACAAGGGGTACCAAGATACTTTAGTGTTTTACAGAATTGGCTATTAAATGAGGTTAGTATTTTGCACATGGCTGCTGCAAGGGATTAAAACAGTCTGCAGCTAGTCGATCTGGAATTTGTTTGTTAAAACTTTACCATATACTTACTAAACTTACAAAGTAAAAGAGAACACAGAATTTAACGCATAAGAGTTTTCAGAAACTGCAATTCCATAGAATTGTTTATTTTCAGCTACAGCACAAGCAGCATATATGATGATGCAATAGACAGATACTGTACCTATCACTGGGAGGTGGTTGTAGGTGCTCAAAATATAACAACCCATTGGAATTCACGCTCATAACAGTCTCACCCTTGGACTGCAGCTCAACTTGGAAGGGGTGTGCTGTGACTTGAAGTTTGTAGTCCCCATTAACACTTGACAGTGCCAGAATACCTGCCTCCTTGTGGGATATGAAGAGTCTGGTAAATGAAAAGCAACAACAGCAACATGTGAATCCACTGTAACTAAATAACAATTTGAAACAAAAGATGGACTAAGAATATCCACATGCATTACACAAACCTCAAGGCTAATGTTGAGGCAAAGAATGCCTGAAATACATGCTGTGCTTGGGGTTCACTGCATAGTGCAACAAGTGGCTACAGAACTGCTGTGAAAACTACCCATCGTAACAGGTAGGCTATTTTCTGACTGGGTCAAATAGCCTCAAGTTTCTTTTGTGTACGACAAAACTTCCTCCTATGTAAATTAACCATATGCATTTTTATTTTTAATTCTTGTAACAACTTTGTATTGTAGAGAGACAACTGTACTGTTGTGTAAATGAGGGACAAAGAAAAACACTTGCAAATGAAGCTGTGTAAGTTACTAAGGTGCTAAATCATCTTCCCATCACTTACCTCTGGGTGGTAGGTTCCTTTACAAGAACATCAGGAACTTTGTATCTTGCTCTGAGAGGTGAAGCCTCATCAATTTTAAGCCTGAAAATATTGCCTTCTATTTCATAAATTTCTACTTGTAGAAGAACCTGGGAGCAAACAAACAAATAAACTGTTAGTGATAAAAAGTATCAACTTATTTTTTAACACAATATCACCAAACACTTACTGTCTGGAAAAAAAATGAACATGCCTGCTTTCTGATTTAATGTTCTTTAGCACTGTTGAGTAAAAATCATCATCCATATGAATTTACACCAGCTAAATCTACTTCACCCCTTCAAAGAAGCAACATTTTTTAAACAAACGCTTTATCCTCAACTTACAAAGTGCACATAGCTGCAGTTTGCAGCTCTCTCCCCACAGCAACATGGAAAACAGCAACAGTGTACACTAATCTCAAGGTTAGTACAAATTCACTACTATGCTGTCACTGTAAGAGTGGTAAAATCCTGAGATGTGGACTTTTTGCAAAAACATCAGTGCTCTGTCTTCACTAGTATGCACAGCGCTGACACTGATCAACTGTGTCAGAAAGGCACCTAAAGAAAATGTGCTAATACTGCCCTACTCACTGTAATTTGCTATTTTTTAGTTCAGGGATCTGGGAAGTCACTCTATTCTAGAAAAGACACCACAAGTCTGATTTTTTTTTTTTTATCCTTAATGTCTCCTCCTTTGAGAAACAAAACTGGCTGAAGAATTTTAGCCTGATATCTTTTCCCACTATGTGGAAGCCAATCAGTCCTGCTCTCTTCAAAGGCATGAAAGCATGCAAGAGCCTTAAAACCAGAAGAAAAGTAGGCAAGACAGAAAAGATTCATTTGGAGTTCCAGGCACTGCTTCTAGGAAATATTTTACATTATGCTATCTTTGTATAAACCCCCGAATAGTCTAGGAAGCCACAGAATCTTCAGTCTTTGATATTCCTTAAAATCTAGACAAAAAATAGGCTCCTTTTTCTGTGTTGACTGCAAAGAAGGTTAGGATTAACAAGAGAGACAGAAAATACCTCTATGAAAAGTATCTACACAGTGTGATGGTTAGAGCATGAAAGTGACTTGTAGTTTCAAACTCTCATAATCTGAGCATGGGTTAGGTTGTCTGTTCCCTGGGTAAATGTGCCAGCTGCTATACCATTAAATTAGAGAAATAAAAGACCCTCATCTTCCTGTTTGTCATCTTAAATGCAAAGATGACTTCTTTTTTCCAAAAAACTGCCTTTAAGCAAACACAGGAATACAAAGGCATGGTTAGGAGGTGCTGGAATATATGTCCTCTTATTCCATTACAGAAAAAGAATTTATTATTTCAAAATAATTGAAACCATTTTTCAGCTAAAAGGAGTTCTATTCACATTTTTCATAAAGCTATTAATTTTTTTTTAAGTTCCTTAAAATACCTCTTTCTCTTGCACAGTCTCAAGCTGTTAAATAAACACTGACCAGTAAGGACATATTTAAGCTTATAGTTTGCATTATATCTTAAATATCTATCACTGAAGAATCTTAAAATCTGCAAATATTATCAGTCTTGTTGATAATATTTACTGCTCTTTCTGTAAGCACCCTCTTAAACAAGGTGGGATCTCACCTTAGTCTTCTCATGAATAATTTGGAATTTGACATTCTCATCACTTAATGTGACTGAATCCAGCAATGCTTGATATGAGGATTTTCCAGGACATAACAGTTTCTGACGCCTGTCAAGACAGAAAATTATTTTTAGTCTCTCTAATTCTTGTAGTTTATATCACATAGAGGGACAGAGTACTGGTAGAAATGTTTACTTAATAATTTTGTCTTGAATTTTTTCAAATACAGTTATCAACACTTCAAGTCAACTTGGAAAAAAAGGAATATAGTTCTGAGCACAAATAAATTTTTATGAATGAGATGTTAGAGGGGATTGGTCACCCATCACCACTCTATAGGGTTTTTTAAACAATAGTAGTCTTAATTCAAGTGTCCAATTAAATTCTTAGCTCTACAGTTACTGCTCTTTCACTGATCCCAGAAATTTCATTTTTCATTTTCTGTCATATATCTCGGCAACCCTGGTGAACAGCTTTTTTTTACATTCTGTGGTGATGAAGCAGTGTATGTTTGTAATTTGTAACCTCCTGAATACATAGTGAGGAAATTGTTTCTCAACATGTCTGCTGACTACAGAGATTTGACTGTGGCTTTTGGCCCCAATAATGTTTTTAGGACAGAAACCCTGAAACAGAGGCTCTTTCAGCTGTTTGTAGAATGCTCCTTGCCAAGCCCAGGTTTTATGAACTATTTGAAGATAAGTGTCTTAGAGGCTACCTTAAAAAGAAGCTTCTTCAGTAGTAAACTGATTTAATTTCCTTGCAAACAGGAACACAAATGTGAGCAATCAGTGAAAGGATTTCTTTTAAAAGCAGAGCAAAGGCAGGATCTGATATTTACCAATGTGTAGCAAACTCCTCCTGAGAAATTAGAGGTCTTATGTTAAATGGTGACATTCTAGAAAGTTTTGGTGTGAAAGGAGCCATGCTCGCACTGAAATTTTTTTTTGTTGTTTGTTTTCTGAACATAATTTCCTGCAGAACAGATATGAATATCTGAGACTGTAATCCAGTACATCAGTGACTAATTGGTGTAACACTGGGAAATCATTCCTTTCAGTCAGGCAGCACAGGATAGAAGACAATGGAGGATGGGAGGTAAAAAAGGTTGAGGAGATGTATCACAGTTAGAAATAGGATGAGAAAGATAACATTAGGTTAGCTTTAAGAGACTAATGAACTAGAAGTTAGATTTGACACTCAATTCTGGCCAATGTACTTGTTCAACAAGACTGTAATCATGTATGCTATTGTCACAGACTAATGGTTTCTATTGAGTGTTTTGCTGTTTTGAACTACAGATAGTCAAAAAACATCCACGTCAAGAAAACAACTTGCATCTGAGTGGAACTATAGTTAAAATATTGCTGGATCTTAGTCAGATGAGAGGACTGATTCTTTTGTATATTAAAAGAAGACATTTTGGATGTAAGATTACACCTTTTAAATATGGTGATTACTGTTTGCTGATAGGTGAGTGGAATGCTGACTTTGAAAGATAAATCCTGAAAACAGCAGACTTGTTGTGATTAAGAATCAATGTGTAACTACTTCCTGTATCTTTTAATATTACTAGTTTAAAAACAACCACCAGTCTACACTACAATTCTCCTTACCTGTAAAAAGCAATCTGGTTGCATTTCTTAAAGGTGCTTTTGTCCACGGCCTCATCTTGTACACTAGAAAGAGCAGATGAAGATTTTACTTGTGTTCACCGAACACCTGCTGAATGATGAGATGTCAGGGTTCCTCTTCAAGACAGGTCAGGATTAAAGACAATGCAGAGAACTCTGATCCAACATAAAATGTGTTGAAATTTGAACTAATGTGTTGAAATATGGGAAGAACTTCTTACACATTTAGTTCCATGCTGAACCATTTCCTTTTAAACTTCGAAAGTTCAAGAAATGATTGAATCTATGACTAATGGAGCTGAATTTCAGCATGACTGAATTTTTGGGGGTTTGCATTTTGAAGCCAGACCTCTCTCTACAGTCATTACAGTTAATTATTATGTTCCAGTAAAAAGAATAGAGAAATAGGCAGGACTGGCAGAAAGGAAGACATCCTGCACACTCCTCTTCTACCTTTAGTGGGACCGACAAGGAAGGAGGGCTTCTGATGGCCCTGCTGACAGCACTATGTTATCTCTAGGCTTGGGGTAACTTTTAGACCTATTAGATAACACTAATTTTTTGGGTTGCCTGAAAAAAATGGGCTGCCAGTAGTGTCTATCATCAAAATACTTTCCAGATCATGCTAAATTCAGACACAGATGGAAGTGAATAAGGTATTAGTTTGGTAGACAAAGCACTGATGCTTATAGAATACTTACTAATTACATACATGCAACATAGAAAATTCAGGCGGCAGCCATTGAAACTCAGTCACAATTACAGATCCTGGATTAATATTGGAGATCTCACAGAACCCATATATTTAGACAATTTAGCCATTCCCATTTTTGCCTGAAGACACATACGTCCTTTCATGTTTTGCTCCAGGTGCGTGAGACTTTGTTGCCGCATTTAAAACCCTGCAGCTCGTCTGCCTTCCAGCGGTGCAGCTGTCCCGCTCTGAGGCCCGGGGCGCGGGGACAGCACCGCCACGGCACCGGCACGGCCCCGCTCGCCCGCCCCTCACCCCCGGCACACTTGCGAGAGCCGGGCCCGCTCTCCGCAGAAACCGGGGAGCCAGTCTGGCAACACCGGAGGAGCGAGGAGAGGATCGGCCAAGGAGTCCCCACCGGGCAGCGTTACCTGACTTCCCCTGCCGTGGCCGCCTCCATGGTGGGGCTGCTCCGAGCGACCCCCGCGGAGAGAAAGGGTGACAGCCCACTGGCGGCGACAGGGCTCGGGGGGCCGCCCGGCGGCAGGGGCGGCAGCCGGGGAGCACTGCGGGACCCGAACGCGACCGAGTCAGCGAGTGACACCCGGAGGCGGTGACAGGCCGGGCCGAGGCGGGGAGCGGCTCCGCCCAGCGCCGCTCCCGCCGGCCCACGGCCGCCGCGTCCCCCCGCGAGGAGCGGAAGAGGCGCGGCCAACGCGGCGGCCTCCGTACGGCGGGATGGCGGCGGCGCCGCGTTGCGGGGGGCGGCGGCGGCCCGGAGCCGTCCTGCTGCGGCTGCTGGCGGTGCTGCTGCTGGCGGGCGCGGTGGGCGCCGGGCAGCGCTCCAAATGGCGGCTGCCAGTGCTTCTGGTGAGTGCGGGGAGCGCGGCCGGGCCCTGCAGCCTCCGGGCCGGGCGGTGTGGCGGCGGTCGGGGCGAACGTGTGCGGGAACAGGGGCAAGAGGCCGTGGCTGCTCCGCGCGTCGTCCTCGGGCTGCGGCCGGGAGCGTCCCTGCCCGGGCCGCTCCTCTTTGAAGCCTGACCGCACCCGGGGCTGGTGCTCGGGCTCGGGGCCGTGGCTGCCCCCTGCCAGGCTGGAGCCCTCTGTGGCGGGTCGGTCGTGGCGGCGGGGAGAGAAGGCTTGTGCGGGAAATAGTTCGATGGGCAGCGGAGGGAGCGCGGCCCCTGTGAAAGCCGTGATATGGGAGGGAGGGAAGGAAGGAAGGAAGGAAGGAAAGCGGGAGGGTCTCCCCGACTGGTGCCCGGCCTTGGGAGGGCCTGTGCGGGGAGAAGGCGCCCCGCGCCTCCCCCTGCGGCCGGGCTGGCGGCCCGCACCGCCGGGGCCTGGCTTCGGGAACGCTGGACCGAGAGAGGTGCGGGCCTTAGGGAAGGTGAAGGGAATTCCGGCACTTCTTACAAAGCGTGTGTGCTTGCAGTTGTGCGGGGGAAAAGCTGTTTTGCCTCACTTCAGATCTGCCTTTACGTGGCGGTGGGAGTAATGTGTGCTTTCTCTGGGACCCTTGAGCTTCGGGAACAAAACTGAAGGATCATGGCAAATGCTTCTTTTGGTTCTTAGAACAAAAAATTTTTTTGTTGAATAGTCCAGACTGGCTCATCAGCAAGAAAATGGTAATGGTTTCAACAAATGTCAATGTAAAATTAATTCCGTTTGCAGAACAAAAAGCCTCAAACCATCTTTAAGAGTATGTTGAAGGGGTGGTGAAGCATGACTGGAAAGTCCAGTAAGTCTGGCTCCAGATTTGGCATTTGCTTTCATTACTGTATTGACTTAAAACAGAATGGAAGATTATGTTTACTTAAGCTCAATGACATTAAGCTCACTAATGTCTCTTCTGTTTTTGCGCCTTTACAGGGGAAGAAGTTTAACTTTGGGAAAATTCTCTTCAGCAACACCACCATTTTCCTGAGATGTAAGTGGTTATAAGGGATTAACCTGCTTTTTCTTCTTTTGGAGACCTCTCCTACTTTTAACATTTGGGACTTGAAACACTGTGAAGTGTTTAACTGCACTGGCTGCCGTGACAGCTCATCTAGCACTGTATGAAAGCCATAGCTCTGGTATGATTGGGTCTGTTAACAGCCTTGAAGCTTCTCAGTTGGGATCTGTTTAGGCTGGAGCAGAAATGAATGGCTCTTCAGGCCCTCTGTAAAGAGGGCAAGATGGGTAATGGGAGCACCACTTCTTTTCAGATAGGGGGTAATCAGGTGTGGGACGTGCTGAGCTGTACTGTGAGGTGTGCTTTTCCTATTGAAGATTTGCTGAATTCCTCTGACTGGGAGATCTGGTGCTGACTGGGACAGGGGCTGTTTGTATTGCAGTGACTGATGCCACTGTACAGGAGGCAATGCTTTTTGAGGACTTGTTCCTTTGCAGTTGAATGTTTCTGGGAGTGGTAAGGGAACGTTACACACTATGGCAGAGATCTCCTGAGAGATGTTTTCTTCTCCTGATCCCAGTGTGCAAATGTGCTACAGAGCAAACGTGTTTGCAGCCTTTCAGTTTTTTCTGCATATTGCTCTTTGCTGATCTGGCCAGGTCGATGGGTTATGTAGGTTACTGCTCAAAGGAGAGTTTCTGTGAAATACCCTCTTACCTGTGAACATGAGCACAGCATTTAGATGGCAGTAAGATGATGTAGGTGAGTGGTAGAAGTGACTAGCTGACTTTGAAAGGCTTGAAATCTTTGCCATGTGCTTTGAACGCTTTGAGAGGTTGTTTGCACCATGGAGGGGGAAGCTGGTCTGCACCAGTTCTTACCATTGAGGTGGGGGGAGGAAGCTGTTTGGTTTCTGTCTGCTAATTGGGTGCTTACACAGGTACAATGCCTGTGAAAGCCCTTCTGCACTTGTGTCAAGTGAGGAAGTGAAAGTCTCATAAGAGACAATGAGTGGAATCTGTGCCTGTGTCACGTCAAGACTTAGTTGCTGCAGTGATTGTGTTCTTTTTGACTGAGAAAATTAAGGTATTGTGGGGTTTGGCTAATACTTAGTGAAATTGCATGTTGCTGTACTCTGTTATGTTTAGTACTTACCTTACTGTTTTTCAGGTTTAATTTCCAATACCTGCTCTTTTTGGGACAGTGTTTCAAATAAAGTTTAAGTGCCATCATTGATCTCACATTAATCTGAAACAGGAGGCTAGTATTTGGGTGGTTGTTAGTGAGCACTCATCATGTCAGGGTTAAGGCTTTCCCACTTGTCAAGTGTAGCTCAAATGCTAAGGTTTGTTTCTTGCAGTGAGACAATTGTGAGTTTACAGCTGCAGGATCAAAAGGTAGGAATCTTCTTCTTGGGGAGGAGGGGGGTTTGAAAGGGCATTTGGAGCTTTGGTAGGTTTTAGGTTCTTTCCTAAAGTTTAATAGAAATAGTGTACTTGTAGTAACATGGCATCTGAGATGTGGGTCCTTGCAGTGAAGTATGTGGTAAGTCTAATGCTGAAATAACTGCGAGAAGGAACTAAAGCATAACATTTGTTTGTTAAAAGGCAGATCTGGTGTTAGAATTCGATCTCTTGGCTCCTGATGTGGACTTGAACTACGCTGTGCTTGCAACCCTTAAACAGGCATTAAGTCTTAAAAGTCTTTAGTGAAGACACCTGTTTTACATACCAGTGTGATTAGAAGATTTACATGAATTTAGGTAATGAATCATGGAAAGAGGAAGGAACAAAGGCTGTGAACTTACTCAGTTTCTCAGCCTAGATGAGATTTAAACTGCATGTGATACTGAGAAACTTCAACTTTGCATATTTTTTCTTTTCTGCCCATGTCTCTGTGGAAACTGATCTCCTTTTGTTTGGTGTCTGTTGCCTCTTCCATCTGCGGTGTGATGTTTGTGTGGACAGTATGACCCTTTTTGTCAAACATGATTGCTCATGGGTCATCCATGGTTTTGGTGAGCCCCTGCATCTCCTTTTCCACTGTCTCTTTTTCTCCTCTTCTTGACTTTTTTTGGTATGTTTGTGCTATATTAGTGTCTGATGCTTTCTGGTTCTGGCTGGGAAGACTGCTGCTGGCATTTAGTGTTGTCAATAATGAATTTATTTTTATCTACTACTTTTCTGAAGTGCTATTCTAGAAGGCATTTGGTTTCTTGTTTAGGATCATGGTAGAAACCCTGCTCTCTGTAAATGAGTACAAAGATTGCATTCAAGTTGAATGTTGCTGGCTTTTTTCTGAAGGCTGAGGAACTTAGATTTCCATGTTGCTGAATTCAGTAAATGCCATGGATGTTTTTCTATTTTAGAGTACTTCCTTTTCAAGGTTTCTGTAATTTTGATGTTTGCAGATATTGCGCATTTTTCTAGTCATGACCTGTTTTACCTTTAGTGGGTACTACCGCTGAATATGTAGTTGCTTTTTTATTTTTAATAGATAGAAAGGGATTTAAAAGGTATTTTTGAATCTTTTGCTAGCTTTTTTTTGAGATGTTCCTCATTTGATCAATTTTATTAGAAGAGCCTTTGTCATCAAAGAATTTGCCATCTACCCATGTCACTGCAATGCTTGTGTTGTCCTTTAGTTTCTTTGTGGTGCCCTCTGCAACATCTAGGGCAACGAGGAACATGTATGCCTTGTTTTCCTGCTTACTAGGAGAAGTCATAAGGACACTTATTTTTCAGTAATTTTCCTTAAACCTTTGGTATTAGGAACTGTTGTTGATTTCTTAGCTCTACATATACATGCTTTAGTAGTCATGAGGTTTAAAGTGGGATTAGTCAATTAAGATTCCATGGCAGGGTCTTTCTTCTAATTGCATTTTTTACCTGCAGTGATCAGTATGGAAACATTCATTAAAAGTGTACATGTAACAAAGTCTGAGATGAATGTGCCTGTGAAGTTGTGGGAACTTCTTAGCCACTGCAAACATGCTGTTAACTCAAAAGAGTTTTGCCATCTGTTGGCTGGGAAAAAGCAAATTTAATCATCTAAATGGCTCTTCCAGAATAATTGCTGCTCATTTTGTTTAAGGGTGAAGCTTGCCTTCTTAATGTCAAATTGTTTTCATGAGGTTCTAGTTTAATATTTGAAACACAAAAAAAACATCTTCCTGACCGGGGGAAGATCTTGGGTTTCACTTTCATGCAAGTTGTTCTCTAATAAATCAAAGTGGAAAGTTGTCTTATTGCTGTTTTAGGTAGCATTGCAGCATCGGCAGCAAGAGTGAACGTATAGATGGCTGGTTTGTCTTTTGGGTGGGATGGATGTTGACTTGCAAAATCTTACCTTTTTATTTGTTTTCTTGGTGATGCTATTGATATATTTAAATTTTATGTGCAAATTGCTGTTAGTATTATCCTGTTCCTAGGTCTCTTCGCTTGGTGTGTGTCTTCCCCTTCCCCCCCCCCCCCCCACTGTCTCTGGAAGGGAGGCCGTTTTTTTTATTTTGTAATCACTGAGAGTCACTGCTGTTCTCTTGTTTGGTATTTGCAGTTGCAGAAACATCCCTGATTGTCTTCAGAACAAAAGGTTTCCAAATGATCTTCAACTCTTTAATAGAATTGTATGATGTTATAGTGGAATTCTGTGCTTGCTTTCTTTCACTGAACAGTAATGGGTTACTTGAAGAAAATGTTTTTCTGTCATTTTCAGTTTCATGTTTAAAATGTAATTATGGTAGTTTTGCACAGATTGGAAGGAAAAGTATGGAAGGTAGACAGTGTTCTTATCTGGTGTTTTTTTTGGTTTTTTATAGTTGAAGGCGATGAAAAAACTTGTGATCCTTCCTTAGGTTTCAATGTTACTTGGTACTTAAGATATTCTGACTGCTACAATGAAGTCTTCAACTTTGGGGTAAGAATTACATGGAAAAACATAGGTTAGATTTTTTTCTGGGTAAGCAAATCTAGTGGGGAGGCAATTGGAGATGTTGCTCTTGCATCCACATTCTGATTTGAGCATAAAAGGCACATTCTTCCTTTGGAAGATAACAAATTTCTGGAATGGAATGGAATTGATCAACAGCTTGCTGCAATTGTTGACTTTTTTTGGGTTTTGGACAAGGTGGAAGTGTTTGTCAGAATTGTTCTAAACCCAGGAGCTTAAATAAGTACATTAACTAAACTAAAGCGTGTGAGTTTATGCTAGTTGAAAATACTTACAACAATGCTTAATGACAGTGAATAGGAAAAAAATGAGTTTTTTCATGTTTAGTCTGAATTCTGTTCTTTATGTATGCACATTGTAAGTATTAACAATGTGTATGAATGTATAGTGTTTCTATCAAATGTGGTAGAACACAATTGTGCTTCATATGGCTTATACTTTTCCATGTTTGCTTTAAATATTAATTATGACAGTTGTAACTACTAATCTAGCACAAGACTGAGTCTTAAATCTTTAATATAATAATGTAGAGTTTGTTTGTGTAGGCTGAAGTTTATGCTGGCTACTGCACCTCCACTGTATTAGTTCTTACTCAGAGCCTGTATGCCATCATTTTTATTGTCTTGTGTGGTCTCGATGGCCTTTATTCTATTAAATTTGATTCAAGAGTGTGTGCAGAGTGAAGCTCTCCAGGTCTTGCACCTGTCTACTTAGATAAACCATTTGAAATATTGGATGCTAATCTAAGTTCTTCTCTATGTTTGGCAGGATGAACAAGCAGATAACTATTTTGGGACCACAGCTGAAGAGCATCCGGGTTGGTCAGGATACTATGCCACTGCTTCTCTTCTCTTTCCAAACTGCTCTGAGCTCTTTAGGCCTCAGGTATGGGTAGAAATTTCACAGTTTGCTCTGTCTCATACAATATGAGGTGGTAATTCTTGTTAGATGTGTTAGTGTCCTGTGTAAGTGTCACTATAGGTTGGGAGGTACTGCTTTTTATCTGTTTATGACAACCAAGCTGTGATGATGATTTCTTAGTTTCGCTTTACTTCTGGCTTGCTATTCAACATCTGGCTCACTATGGTGGAAAAAAGATCCCAACCAAACCACTGTAAAGTTCAGTGCTTCTTTTTGTTTGTGGTTTTGTGTTCCAAATTTGTTTCATTTATGGGAGGCTACTGCTAGTTGTGTAGAAGTGGCAGCAGAGCAAAGATCCCACTAAATTTGAGTCAATAAAGGATTGTCATTTATTGCTCAGATAATGTTAAGTTAGAATAATGGAAATGAGTGTTGAGAAGTTAATTACTTAAGCACTGATAGCAGGTTAAAACTGAAAAATAGTAGTGCTTGTTTGAAACAAATCAAGTGGAAGTGAGAAGATGATGCAAAATAAGTGTGGGAGCAAAGTGCAGACGTCAGCTCTGTGCTGGCTGCACATCAGCAGGCAAAGCTGTGCGATCCTGCTGATGGCAATGGCAGTGTAACTTGGTTTCTTTCTTTAATGGTGTACGTAAGAACTCCAGGCAAATTGTGGAGTGTTGCATCTGTGTTCAGCCATTCCTAGTTTGAACAAGTTCATGGATAGAGAATACTGGGAAACGTCTCATAATTGTTGAACTTAGTGTTGTGGGTTGTTTTTTGATGGTTTTGGTTGTTTTGTTGTTTTGGGGTTTTTTTAAGGAAAAGGACGTGTCTAAAGTTGAGTTGAAAAGTGTTTTTAATAATTTGTTTGCAATGCCTCTAGTTCCTCTGATGTGTGAAGATGGCTTGAAAGGTTTTTGAAAAGAAAGAAAAAACTACACGCTGCCTGCTTTTTATGTTTAATAATATGACAAGTGTCAGTCTATTTTTACTGGGTTTTATAAAAGAGATCTTGTGGGTTTAGCTGTGTAATATGAATTCGGGCAACTTAACTGAAAGTTCAGGTTTGTGAAACTGGGGTTTTAAAAGTCTTTAAGTGAATTATTGTCCAATTCCTTTGAAAAGTCTACTGAATTTCTAACAAAATATATTCCTCTCAGATACTAATTTCTGAAGTTTCACAGAAATTTCTTCTGATTGTTCAGGCTTTTTCTCGTGGTATAGCAGTTTGACTAGATTTTGAGTCACCGTAGTTTAAAAGAGTTGGCAAAATCTGGATCTCTAATAGGCACTCACTCATCTAGGAACTATTTACTTCATAGATTAAGGCAGAAATCTCAAAATCCTGTTTCTGTCTGCGTAGACTTTATCTAGTAATGGGGATACCCAACAGATTTGTATTTGGAAAATAAAATTAACTTCACTACTGTCACGTCTGTGGGTTCGAAAAATAGATACCTGTTATCTGAGGGGATGAAAACCAGACTCCCTCCACAAATGGACAGTTGATTTATCAAAATGAAAGCTCTCTAATACATCTGTTCAGAGAATAATCAAGTTTATTGGAAACTGTTCTGGTAAGGTCATGTTGATGTGTAAAGTGCCTATAAACGTTAAAGTGTCTATAAATGCTGTACCTTTCTTGTATCCTGCAGATTTTCTATAAAGAATTTGTTCATCCAGAACCTCTCTCACCTGAGAAACAAGAGGTAATTTTTCTTCCCTTCTAATGAGTGAGTATAGTCATGGAAGAGATAATTTTGACATATTGATTTATCCATTTTTCTGTGATGTGTTTTTTGTTTCCCTAAGGGCTTAAAAGATAAGAAGGAGAGCACAGGAAATCACACCATGGTGACAGATAAAACTGTATGTATACTGAATTTAAACATGGCTTGTAATCCAGCAGTCTTTTTTTGTTTTGGTTTGGTTTTTAAATTTATATTTATTTGTATACAAAGAAGTTATTGGTAGGATAGTCTATGGGTTTTTTTGACATCTGGAATTTTTTAGCTTGAAACTGGGTAGTGCTGTATGGAAAATCAGAAAGCAGAATAACAGAAAGAGAGTAACTGCTTCTTCTGTATGTGAAATATAGAACTCATACCATTCAAACCAATGGTATAAATTAACAAATAATTTTCTTTTTCCATTATAATTTAAAATAATAATTGAAAATACCTGTTTTAAATGGTGACTAATTCTTACAGAATACATTTGGTTTTGGTTTTAGTCAATTTTTTTAAAACATTGTACCTAGCAAGTTGACTGATTACTTTTGATTTTCAAACCTGTTAGTGTTTTTATTATATATTATGTTCAAGACTCAAGGAGGAACAATTGTCAAAATAGCTTCAAGTTGATCATCCTGGATGCCAAGAAAGAAAATTTATTTAATTCCTTGTGTACTTAAAGGCCATTCACTTTAAAGCTAAAACATAAATAGCTGTGTGTGCAGTTGTGAAATAAGGAATCAATGCAGCAAGAGATAGAGATAGTTTAAAGGCAAAACTGGTGTATATAAATGTACCCATTTTCTTTTGAGTTTACTGTGTTTCTAAATAAGTTTTATTTTCAGTCAATATTAGCAGATTTATTTTTTTTTTTATACATAATGTGCTGTTGGTTTTAGGTCTTGCAGTCAGGAGGTTTCTTAAAAGAAATGCATGCTCTTAATACTGAAATTTTCTTGGAGAGGGTGTTATAAAAAAAAGTCTTTGTGGCAGTTCTGCAGTAGTCATGTGAGTGGCATACATGTAGATTGAACTTTAAAGCTCCTGGTAAATATTGCAGTTTCTGAGGTAGCTAGAACTTCTTCAGTTGTGGAAATCAAAGAAATCTCTGATTTGTTTTATGGTGCAAATATTTATCTGGACAAGCTTACTTTGTTAGTTTATTGGCAGGATTTGAGTCTTACAGGTGTAGGAGCTGCTGCAGGGACTGCAGTAGTAGTGTCCATAGGAAATAACTCCTATGGAAATCTCTCAGCTACCCCTTCTATCTTACACTGTAAAATTCAGCCTTCACCAGGGAGCTGAGTTATATGTAGCTGTGCAGTTCCCAAGCAGTTGATTGCAGCAGGAAATACTTATCTCTGTGATGGTCCTAATGCTTCCAGTCTGAAAAGAAGAATTAGGATGCTCTCCTGAGTTCTTTTACAGAACCTTTGAGTACTCTTGCAGTAAGCCAGTATTAAATTTGCAAATTTGCAAAAAAAAGCTGTGGTTACCTCCCAAGTCTTTGAGGATTCTTCTGCATTCAAACAACTAAATTTTAAGTATTATACATTTAAAATTTACATATCAAATATTTATTAACAAGTTTTAGGTCTCAGAAGAGGTGAACTTTATATTTACATGTAAGATATCACCCATGTATGGCTAGTCTACTTCTGTCTTTTCTTTGTCTTCACACTGTGCACTGTTAACATTTAGATGTTTTATTTTCAGGCAATGAATGCTGTCATCAAAACTTGGCGAGATGGGCCATATATATTTATTGTGCAAATTGGAAGTACAACTGCAAAGGATTCTATTACCAGAGTTAAAAGAATGGAGAGGACAACACCTTCCTCATATCAAAATAGGCTCTTTACAAGTAAGATAACTGTCTATACAGAAATATGAAAATACAGCACCGTTTTTATGTATTACCAGTCTAAGTGTATCCTAAGGTACTTTTAATATATACTGTATGGTTCAATTTCATCAGACACTATCACTTCACATAGGTATTACTTCAGCTCTTATCATAAGAAAAGAGGTGCTTGCTAGTGTCTTGAAGATCCTAAGACTGTTGCTCTTTCTGTTTCCTGATGGAAATAAAGAGGAATCCAAAGCATTTCAATTTTGAGGCTTGGTGTTTTCTCTAAAAAATGTGCATAGCAATACAGTGATTTATATTAATAAGCTCAAAACATGTTGAGTACTAAGATCATACTTGTTGCCTTGATATATTATAAGATACCTAACCGTCCATTGATAACCTATTCAAACTTCAGAGAAGTTTGAAAATCCCCTTAAGCAGTTAACGTACGTGTGTTTCTGAATTTTTCTTATTACACGTGAATCTCCAGCAAAAATTACTTCTAAGTACTGCCATGAGTTACTTGGTAATGGAGTGTGTAATTTTAATTGCATACTTTTAGCTGAGTGTGTTATAAGTCTTAACTTTCTTTATTAAAGTGTAAGTTAGATTTAAAAGCTATGTGAAGACATGTAATTTATGCTTGAGTGAAAATCATTTAAGTCCTGGCTTCCTTCTTGTTCAATTTGGTTATTGGATTGTCTTTTGACAGTGACAGTTGAACTGAAGGGGCCGTATGAGTATCTCTCACTTGCAGACTATCCTCTGATGATTGTAAGTAAACCAACTTTTCTTTGATCTGTAAAATTGTCAGTTGATTTGAATGTCAATTAAATACTCTGCTTTCATATTTCAGGAAACACAGAACCAGTGTCTCAGGAGAAAAAGTTACTTAGCAGAGGGTGTTTTTGGGTTTGGTGGGGTTTTTAGTTTATTTGTTTTGAGGGGTTTTTGGCTTTTTTTTGTTTGCTTTTTCTTTTTGTACTGAGTACAGGATAGGGAAAACAGATATAGATTTCAAATGCTTGCACATGACACTAATGTTGTCCTTCTCTGGATTGTTTGAATTAACGGATGTTAGATTGTAGTTCCTGAAGTTATCAGTATTGTTAGCTCTAAACTGAGTTTTACTGATGCTGTTATTCGCCTTAGCTCACATCTTACAAAATTTGCTATTCCATGCTTTTGTTTGCAGCTACCCTTTCATTTGTCACTGCTTTCTTTGTTCTTTTAGAGCTTAATCTTCTTTCTTCCACCAGCTGTCTCACACCCCATGAGGAGGTCTTTAATACTGCCTAACAGTGAAAGCATAATTGAGCTACAAAGAGCTAATCTCCTTTTTATTCAAAGGAGTTATTGACTTGGTAGCTAGTTTCTTCTGTTGAGAAGGCTAAAAAATAAAAAATCTTTAATGTTTATGTAGTGAAGGCAAACTTTAGCTGGGGATCAACAACAAGCAAAGTCTCTAGCCTGACTTTATTGGCAAGAATGACCTGTAAACAGTTGAGCCCAACAGCATTTCTGAAACACATTTTACTTCCTGCAGAAATAAAAAGCTACCAGCAACTCTATTGAAATGTAATTCACCAGTGTGAATATTCCATGTGACAGGTCCAGAAAAAGGTCTGTCTCTCTAAATGTTTCCATAATGGAGCATCTGCTCATGAACTATCATGCCTAGGATTTTAGCATTTGAACTGCATGGGTTAGTCAGATGTGCAAATCTGTAAGGATCAGTAAGCTGTTCTCCTAAGGAAGGTGTTTTCAGTTTGTGAAAGTTTCAATGGATTGTGCAGCTAATTTCAGTTTGCTTTAAAAAAAAATCTTCCTTCTGGAAAAGGAGACTGCTTGATTACTTCGGCTAAGTACTTCCTGCTATTCATTTAATGTCTTACTCTCCTTCTAATCCCTCTTAGTGTGCTTTTTGAAAATTTAACTTGCTCTGGTATGATGCTGTCCTTTAGAAAATCTACTATTGAGTAAAGTTGTCAAGCTTATTGTTTGCTGTAGGAGATGTACCATGAAAGTTCTTCTCAAACAAGTAACACTGGACCATAAAAAAACCCAAAAAGCACAATGTTAATATTTAAATGAAAGCTGGATTTCTTTTTCAGTTCCAGGTTTTTGGCTGACCTAAAGCTTGGTTAAAAACTGAGTTTACTGGAAATTAACTTTTGAGAAAAGTTGTTGAATTATTTGAACAGAGGGCTTACGAGCATTAGTTGCTTATCTCTGTTCTATGGAATGGTGTGTAAAGGTGACCTGTAAGTTTATTTGCAGAATACTGTAAATGTACTATGAAGTTATTAATAAAACAATATGGGAGAAGGAGTAGAGTTCCTAGGAGTCGATCATTTGCTTGAATTATTATCTGGGTTTTTGAAATCTAGTAGCTCATGATATCTTCCTTAGAAAAGCTGCCTGTCAATAAATTGGCAGACTACTGTTCAATAGAGCAGTTGCTCAGAAAGTCAGTTACTCTGATTGGCAGTGAGAAATCACACTGTCACTGTTAAAGAATGCAGAGAAGACAAATAAAACAGTCTATTTAAAAACTTCCGAAGTTGCTTATACTGGGGGAGAAAACAGAGTTGTCTTACAGCTGTGGAATGGAAACAAGAAAATTATTTTTCTGGGTCTAAAGTTCCTATTTCTTATTTCTTTTTGTGTAATAGTTTTTCATGGTGATGTGTATTGTGTATGTATTCTTCGGAGTTCTATGGCTTGCATGGTCAGCCTGTTACTGGCGGGATCTCCTGAGGATCCAGTTCTGGATTGGTGCCGTTATCTTCCTGGGAATGCTCGAGAAAGCAGTTTTCTATGCAGAGTTCCAGAATATTCGCTACACGGGAGAATCTGGTAGGTGACAGCTGCATCTCCCAGTTTAATTGATGGGGCATAGCACTAATGGCTTATGCTAAATTGGGGTGACAGATCCATATTAAGCATATGATTACTTGAGGATTGTTTCAAAACGAAGAACAGGGAACCAGAATTTCTATATTTTTTTATATGTTGAAAACATGATGCTGTGTGTTCTTCTAAAGCTAAAGTGCTGTTGCTTAGTCTGACTCCTTAGTGTAGTGTCTTAGGCATGTAGAATGCTAGATTCTGGAGAGTATACATTTTAGTGCTGGCCTGAAGTTTAAAATAGGACTTCCTAAGTGTAGTTTGTAATTAATTTCTGACAGTTGGTGTTGACTTTGGAAAGATACTGTGAAACTCATTGTTCAACGGGACAGCATTGTAGATAACTCTTGGTATTTAGCCCAACCTGATAATCCATTTTAAAGAGATTTCCTTCACATAAAACTGGGGTACTCTAGTTTTGAATTTTGAAGCTGGATGCATACAAATGAAACTGTGCAAGTAAAATGTCATTATGACTTTGCTAATTGGTCACACCCATGGTACACAAGGTTTTATTGGCTGACTTGTTTGGAAGAGTAAGGTTTTATTGGCTGACTTGTTTGGAAGAGTATCCAGGCTGACCCTACGAATAAATGTTTTATGGATCATTTACTCTCCACTTTCTGTGGATGTAAACTTTTTCAGTAGGTTTTTTCTTATGCCGAGTGACCTATCTTTTCTGAAAGCTTACTCCAGATCTAGGTAGTAAAAAGATTATACACTTCAGTAGCCTACCTTCTATATCTGCTCTTGTGCTACAATTGCATATGCAATAGTTAATAGAACAGAAATTATATTTTAATAACCTAACTTCCTCCTCTTTGCTTTTGGTAGTTCAAGGAGCAGTAATACTGGCAGAACTTCTCTCTGCTCTGAAGCGATCGTTGGCTCGAACTCTGGTCATCATAGTCAGCTTGGGATATGGGATAGTCAAGTAAGTAATTTGTTACAGGTTTGTTGTGTTCTATTTAAAGGGTTTTCGCTATTGTTTTTTAATAACTTAGGGCAATATTCTTTGCTTGTTAAAAGGTAGGTGCTTTAATTGAGTGCTGTGAAGATCTAGACTTCTTCACTAGTAAACAGAGACATACAGTTCTGTATTGCTATCACTCTTCCTTCCATCCTTTTCTGTGTACTGCTGTAGGGTGAGTGTCTGAGTCATGGTTGAGATACTCCCCTGAGTGGAATGGGACCTTTATGTGCCTACCTTCTGGGTGAGGGCATCTTATAGAAATTAGAGGAGGTCAATAATCACTGATAGAGGAGGGGATCTGCTTTAGGAGGCTTCTGTTGCTAGGAGTGCTGCTTATCTGTCCATCCCTGACTATATTCAATGGTAAAACAACACACTGTGTGGTAGTGGAAACTTTTGGCAAGTGTGAGTGTACTGGGGGAACTGGTGTAGAAGTGGGATGTGACTTCTTGAAATGGTTGTAAGATACTAAGCAGGTTAACTAGGAAACAGGACTGTTACCAATCTCTCCCTTGGTCACATTATACCATAAGACAAAATTAATTATATGCTTTGAGCACCATGATAAAATTATTTCTGGATCCAGAAGTGGCTTGTCACAGGGACCTTTTATTCATGTGCTTCATACCTTGTGTGAGACTCAAGTTGACATGACTTCACTTTTAGTTCCCCACCTAATCTGAATTTCACTTTTTTTTCCTACAGGCCTCGCCTTGGAGTTACTCTTCACAAAGTTGTTATGGCTGGAGCTCTTTATCTATTATTTTCTGGCATGGAAGGTGTTCTTAGAGTCACAGGGGTCAGTAATAACTGCTTCAGTTTTCCCATATGCCACAGACACCATCAGCTTTATTTACTTGTATGCCAAGGAAGAATCTAGAGCTATGCTGAAAGAGACAATGAAGTGGTTAAATTCTGAGACTGTGAATATGGATTATTGACAATTATTTTAAGTTCAATGTCTTGTCTATTTAGTAGGATATAATTCTGTATAGTTTGAAATAATTCTACTGGTTTTCTGATCAGCCAGGTTTCAGCCTGGACCCTTGTGTCTAATACTTTGGATTAGCTAGGGCTAGTTGCAGACACAAACGTACAGCTTGGGTTACCTGGTCCTGAGTCAAAAAAACCCTACCCAAGAATAAAAAAATAAACCCAAACAACAACAACAAAACCCAAAACAACAAACAACCCAAATCCCCACCACTCCAGTTTTGGAGGCTGTGACGGGGGAAGCGTGTGTAAGTGCTGCTGCTCCTGGATTCATTAGGAAGTGCATCTTGGGATGTGGATTTCTGTTGTTCTGTTTTTGGTATTTTGGGATAAGGTTTTTAACCTGTCACGTATCTGGTACTTTTCCAGTTTTTCTATGACACTGTGGCTCTGATAGCAAACTTGGCCCTGTCCATGATTGATGCCTGTATTATTTTGTGGATATCCTTTTTTAAACTTCAGAATGCTACAAGCTTATTCACAGCTTATTATTTCTGTCTTACACTTAAAAAGAATGTGGTTTGCTTGTTTCTGTTAGGACTTTGATAGTTTTTGATGTAAACACAAAGGCAAGTTTTGCCTCTTTAGTCAAACTTGGGGATGCCAGTGAAGCTTTCAGTTTGTCCATGGATAGGGTAAAAGATTTAATTACTACATCTCTAACAAGCTGGTTGCTAGATTTCTGTAATGGAAGTGGCCAGAGCAATTAATCACAGCAACTGCCTCAGCAGAGACTCCTTTTAACAGTGCTAGATTGACTTAATCTGGAAAACTGCTTCTTGCCTTGCTGGTGGAGAACTGGGAACTGACAGTGTGGTATTGTCGCTTCCTCTCTGTGCATTGGGCTAAACTCTTGGTTCAAGCCCTCTGTTTCTGTAGCAAAACTCAGAAGCATTGTGGTGATGTATTTGTAGTTTCACATAAAATAGCCTCACCCTCCTCACTTCTGTACCTTGTTTTCTTTTTTGTTCTTATTGGCTCTCTCTTTGTCTCCAGGCCCAGAATGATCTTGCCTCCTTGGCTTTTATTCCCCTGGCTTTCCTAGATACTGCCCTGTGCTGGTGGATATCCTTCACTGTTTTACTTGATGGGGTGTGTTTTCTTTTAAATTTGTTTTTTTGGGAAGTCTTTTGGGCTGAATTTTTTTTTTTAAATAATCTTCAAGTATATATTTTTTTCTACTTCTGGTAGAGGTTATAGAACTTCTGTAACTGAGTGTTCAGGTAAGCTCCTGCTACCTACTGCTTACCTAGTTTTTCTTGCACTGGATGAATCTGTGTTAAAGCTGCTCCTGAATATAGTCTGTCTGTTATCAGTCTCTGATTGTTGAGTGTGAAAGCAGTTTGTTCTAGTGTAGTGTGTCATGGCATCAGAGAAGGAACCTTTGGAGAACTGACTCAGTTTATGTTTTGGGGAGAAGGTTGCTTAGCAACATCAAACCTAAAAGTCTTCCTGTAAAATCTGAAATAATCTTGAAGTAGGTGACAAAACGGGGCAGTTCACTTTTTGGTGTCTTGACAAGCAACCATAATCTTGTGTGACTTTAGCAACTGACATTAAATACTGAACTCATGTATAGCAAAATCCCTATAAAGTGTTCTTTGTGAACACTATTTCTTAGAAAAAGCTCTATTTAAAATGTGAATAGATTGTGGCCAAGCCATGAAAACCACAATTCTCCCCTATCATGATATCTCTTCTAAGCACTTGTTTTGTCACTGGGAATAAAATAAAAAAGAAAGTGTGATGGCACCTGTATACATTACTTGGATTTTTAACTCATTTTTAGTTCAAATTTGACTTTTATTTTATCAGAAGTACAAGTGGCACTTTTCTGGAGGAATGGACCACAGCCCAAAATAGATGCTGGGATACCATCTTTATGTGACAAGAGTTATAGGTGTAGATGAACTAAATAACAGTCATAAGGGACTGATTCTGCTCTTTGGTACCTTTGCTGTAGGATCAACCTTTTCTTCTACTGAGAACTATCTTTTTGGAGGGCTCTGGGGGTGGGAGAGCTGTTGATCGTAAGATCTGCGTCTCCTCATGCTAAGTCTGTGACCAGATTGTCCCTTCAGAGGCTTTTCCTTGACTTTTCATACATATTCATCAGCTTAACTCAAACAATGAAGCTGCTAAAACTTCGAAGGAATGTTGTGAAACTCTCTTTGTATCGGCACTTCACGAACACGCTCATCTTGGCAGTAGCAGGTAAGCAGAAAATTAAGTCTATCAAATAAGACCACTTTCCATTTCCATATATGACTTGATTTGGTCACTAAAGCAAATCTTTGTTTGGTGACCTTTCTGTAAATACAATCAAAGTTCTTGGTATTTATAACTCTTGACCCATTTCTAACAGTGGGTCTTTGCCAAGTGTTATGTTGATATTTCAGACACAGTGGATTATTAGTCCTGATGTTAATAAAATCAATAGTAATGCAGCTCCTCTAAGGGAACACTTAAATCCCACTACAAGCTGCTAGGGGGCAAAAGATTATTATCCTATGCTGTTAACTTCACAGAGATACTTTTTGCCAAAATCACAGTATCACTGTATACTTTCTCATTTTTAAGATGTCTGAAGACTAGATAGCTGAAGGACCAGAGTGATTCTTGAAAAATGTGTTCTTAGTATTGTAACATAATGCCCTCTGCATTCCAGAAGAATACAGGTTCAGTTTCTTTTTCCATTTATAATAGTGATGAACTGAACTTCAAGAACAAATCTGTTGATGCTTCCAGGTGCTCTGCTACCAATACAATGGGCAGAAAACTTCTAAAGACTGTGCCTTTATTTAAACAATCAGACAAAAAAGTACATTCCTTTTAAAGCTCTGATTGAAATTCCGTTCAGCACATGGTTCTTAGTCAACTTAGAACACCTTAGTGGAAGGAAATCTGTTGTAAAATTATGGTAAGGGCATACTTTGAACGTTGGAACTGTTGCGGGTCAAGATCTGAATGCTTAAGGCATTCAAGCAGATCAGATTGCTGGGTTACTTCAAGGAAAGCTTTGTTTGTCAGCTGATAATGAAACCATGGTTTGGAGGCTAGGTAAAAGTAATGTAAGAAAAATAAATAGGAGTGAGGAGTTGGCTAAATACTTAATATTTGATTTATGCCTTGTGTCTCTATGTGTCTGTGCCTAAATTATTGTATAAGGTCAGTACAATAAATCCATCTCTTGTTTTTCAAAACTATTAAATTGGATTTCAAGACTTCACTATTTAGGTTTTTGGTCTTTGTTTTGGAAAGAGTCCCGTTCGTGGGATATTTGAATTGGCATATTTTGTAGTAATAAGCAACTTGTTTGTTTGAATATTGCAGCGTCTATTGTATTTATCATCTGGACTACCATGAAGTTCAGGCTGGTGGACTGTCAGTCGGTGAGTTTATATTGAATGCTTTCTACAATTGCTGCCTCTTAATAAGTTTACATTTGGCAGTGAGATTGCCACATAGTACCACATGCTAAAATTCTCACTGTTGTGAGTAATGAGCCTGTTTGACAGATGCCTATAGTTCACCCTTGGAAAGAGATGAGGACATGGAATTTCTTGCTTCTCAATACTTTCCATTTGTGCTGCTGTATTTCTTGGCAGGACTGGCAGGAGCTATGGGTGGATGATGCCATCTGGCGTTTATTGTTTTCAATGATCCTTTTTGTCATCATGATTCTGTGGAGACCATCTGCTAACAACCAAAGGTTCAGCTTTTCTTATCTCTTCCTAAAAATACTGGGTTTTGGGAATGCTTGTTTATTCAAAGAAGTACTAGAGGGTGATTTTTAGTTACTCTGTACTGATCCATAAGGATACTAAGCAGTCTGTGTAGGGACTTGAGGAAAAGTAAGCATAGAGAAGTCACATACATAAAATCCAGTCTGTTCCTGGTGCTGAACTTATTTAAAAAGAAGTGACTTAAACTTTTGATTATGTAGTTGAGCATCGATCTTAAAAATAGTGAACTACGCAGAATAATCAAGTCATGTGAATGCTGGGGTAATGGATCTCTTGGGAGGCAAGAGATACAATTCTAAGATAGCTTTCATTCTTTTGCTCCTGAAGGTTTGCTTTCTCACCACTGTCAGAAGAGGAGGATGATGATGAGCAGAAAGAGCCAATGTTAAAGGAAAGCTTTGGTAAGAAAAAAATTTTTCCACTTAATTTCAGTGTTAAAAAGACACTTTTGTGGACGAAGGTGTCTTGCTCTCTGGCAAAAAATTTGTTACTGCTGGAAAAGTAGAATCAATTGCCATCGATACATGTAGTTGTAGAGGAAATACTGGCTTTATGTTTAGTGTTTACTTTGCCAATGTTTAATTCTGGGGTTGACACTGGAAACACTGCTACTGCTGATGTTGCTTTGCCAGGTCTAGTGGACTTTGTTTTATTGAATATGTCAAGTCTTAAGTTTGAATCCAGTCATGATGACAAGGATCTCTTGGATATTGTTGCTAGGCAGCGGTTTAGTGTGCAGTTCTCTTTTAAAATCCCATTTAAGAATTTTCATTTATTATCTGTGCTCTGAACTCTGCAATCTTCATTTTCCCTGTTAAGGCCTAGCATAGGAATGGCCAGTGTAAACATAGGGATGAATATGTTTATTCATGAAATTGTCTGTTGTAACACCTCTGTTTATAAGCTGTGTAAAAGGTACGGCCACATACATGTTGCTGCTGTCTGTCCACAGTTCATTATGTTGGGATATATTGGTGCTGTTTGCCTTGTGTAGCAGCTGAGGAGAAGTGTGTAATCCATTAGGTGCATTTGGCAAATCAGCTCTATCTGGCTATCTGTGAGGCTGGGAGATGCATGTTGCTGTTCATCTCGTAAGTCAACCAAGTGGCCGGTCAGCAGCCAGTAGGTAAAATAAACTTTGGGAGTTCCCTGTGTCTCAGAATGGTTAAAGCTGGAAGAGACCTCTGGAGGTCATCCTGTCCAAACCCCCTGCTCAAGCAGGGTTTACCTAGAACAGGTTGCCCCAGACCCTGTCCAGATGGCTTTTGAGTATCTGCAAGGATGGAGATTTCACAGCCTCTCTGGATAACTGCGTCAGAGTTCTATGCCGCTGATGTCTGGTTTAAATAAAATTATTAGAAAATTTATATTTCGTAGGTAAAATCGCAGAATTCAGAAAAAAAACAGGTATTCCACCTGTCAGGAAAAAATACTACAAGCCTTCCAAAGGGAAAGCTGTCTCTAATCATTAACTTGTCTAATTCTCCCTTTTGAATCTGATGAAATATCCTAAATGATGATTCAACACTTTCACTTACAGTCTATGAACAATTATAGTTCAGTTATCCCAATCTTTTTTCCTTTTGTTTTCAGAGGGAATGAAAATGAGAAGTACAAAGCAAGAACCAAATGGGAATGTAAAAGCAAACAAAGCTGTGAGTACGCTCTCTCTATCTCAAAGAATATAGATTCATCTCTTCTTTGTTTGCTCTCAGTAGTTATGAGTAGTTTTGCAAAGTTTTGAGCCAATAAATATGAGGTTTTTGGTTTGCTTCAGTGTAAGTCAAAGTATTTTAAGTTTACATTACTTCTGAAAAGAAAGCAAATACAGGTTTTCCATCAGATTTCCTGTATGTACAATGGAAACTTTAGAATTCAGTCTGTTCTTTAGGACTGTTTGTGCCATCCAGTATAGACAGAACTGTATAATACCATATTCTGATAATGAGTAATACATTATTTTAACAAGTTTGTTAGTCTCAGAGGGAGGCTCAGCCATATTTTAAATAAATTGCCTTCTAGTTTTGAGATTTGTGATTTATTAGTTGAATGGGGTGATATGGATATTGTTATGTACCTGTCTAAATACTTCAGGATAATGTGCATTTTTTTTTTCCATGTGGCTTACAAGCCACATTCATCTAGGAGGTAGAAAATATGTCTTGGAATTTTCATGGAATTTGTGTATAAACTTAAAAGTGGAAAGAACATGTAGGAGTTCAGTGTAATAGCAACTGTGTACTACTTATCTGAGGATAACACGAAAATCAAACTTTTCTGTTTTGGGACCCAGGGGGTTGAGAGGGTCATTTCCACAACTTCAGAACAAATGTGCTTGTGTTGTGAATTAAGAGACTGTTCACCAGATAGAAATGAGAAATCCTGACAATATGGACAATACCTTTGATAAATCTAACTTGTGCTTTTTATATTGTTTCATCTATTAACATCTTCAAAAGATAGTGTTCTTTGTTGGGAGACTAAAACTAGATTATGTAAATAACTGAAGTGTCCTGAGGTCCTCCTTTTCCTAGTCACCATTAGACTGTTAAAGAGTTCACAGCTAGTTTTTCTTTAGTCCTCTTTTTTTTTTTTCCTGGAATGTGTTTTCTGTAATCCAGAAATCAAATTGAAGATGTTTTTTCCTGTTGTTTGTTTTGGTTTTTGGTTTTTGTTTAAATTTTTAACTGACATTTTAAATACATTACTTTTTGTCAAGTAGGTTGAGAAGAAAAAGGTTTGCATGTGACAGCATTTTGGGGAAACTGACTTTTGTTTTCTGTTTAATTTCTGTATTTGTAGCAAGAAGATGACCTGAAGTGGGTAGAGGAGAATGTTCCTTCATCAGTGACAGATGTGTGAGTATTTTTATAGTCACAATAAAAGCAGGTTCCTTGCCCACAGGAACACAAATACATTAGAATGCTTTATAACTTGTACGCTGGGCTTCCATGAGCAGAGCCTGGAACTGGCCTCTGACTTTTTAGTGTGATGACACTTGGCTGTATGCACTCTGTCAGATTGGAACATGCTGACCTAAAGAACACTGCCTCGGACTGTGAAACCACAGACTGTTTTGCACTTCACTAAAGTTAAATCTAGAAGACAGAACAAACAAACCCTCTTTCTGTTAAGTGCTCTGAAAAGACCCTTGAGTATCTTGCTGAATGTAAACCATGGAATAATGTAGTTTAGTTTACAACTGACATGCCAAATAAAGTTGAAATTTTCATGTTTCTGGCAGTATAGTCAGCTGTGTATGATGTCTACATCTATTCTGCTTTTAATAACTTTTACATCCTAAAAATGCTACCTTTTTTGTAGCAAAACTGATGTTCACAGATTAATTATGTTCACAAATTTGAACAGGTATTTTTGGCAGAGGCTATGGATTGAAGTACAAAACTTCGCTTGAAGTTAGGTAAAGACAAGAAATTAGGTTAAGTTTCTAGAGGATGAAAAAGTGCATTTTCTGAGTTGAATTTGGTTTTCCCAGTTCTAATACTGATTTTTTGAAGACTGATAGGATTCCTTAAGAAAAAAAGAACTAGACTGGTGTAAGTTATGAAAGGACACTTTGAGCTCCTCTGCTGCAGGGTTTTCTGTTCCTGAGAGTCTGATCAGGGTTGTGAAGAGACAATATCTCAACAGATGGGATGTCTATTATAGGCTGGGGTACCAGTGGAACTTGTTTGATTCCTGGGCTGTGTTTTTACAACATGGTCCCATATTGTAAATTTCTTCAGTGTAGTTCAACAGTGTTCCTGCATGAATGATGTGGCTTATTTGGAAACTTGGAAATTGTTCAGTTGATAATGAGAAGCATAGAAAAAAAGAATTTGAAACTGCAAAAGCAGTTGAGGATACTCCTTGGGCTCTTCCTTTTTTGTGTGTCTTTCTCTAATTTCTGTTAAATTGAAAGGTTTGTCTTTGTTACTCTTCTGTGCCCTAAAAGCAACATAAGTTTAAAAATGGTTGTCAATCGTATGCTCTTAGAATGTATTAATTTTAACTTTTTTTCTCCCCCCCCCCCCCACTGCAGTGCTCTTCCAGCTCTTCTGGATTCAGATGAGGTCAGTAAAGAAGTCTTCAGTTCAAATTAGTCTTCTCACATGCCAAAGGAGTCATGAGTCAGCTGGTAAAGACTTGGCTTATCAGAACTGGACTCTGATCTTGTCAATGCAGCAGTAAAATACTACAAGGGGGGAAGGATAGTGGGGACAACTTCTTAGAATACAAACGTGTATTCCAAATATGTATTCTAAAAAAAGTGCTATATCTGCTGCGTAAGTTGGACTCCTGACTTAAAATGCATGTGAGTTTACATTTGTTGTGAATGTGCACATTCTGAATAAGGTAAACCTACTGGGGGAAATGACACCATTGGGTATTTTATTTTCCAGGAAAGAATGATTACACACTTCGAAAGGTCCAAAATGGAATGAAGGAGTAGCTTTTTGCTACTGGAAGTGGAGACGCCTCTTTTAAAGTTGCTTGGTGGAGCAAGTGCATCCTGCTGATTTGTTTGTTGATCTCAGCCTTGAAAGTTTGATGCTTTACTGTCGTGGAGGGTGTCTTGCTGTGGAAGAAGTTCACAAGGACATTATAAACCTTTTGGAAATTTGAATTTACAAAGTTGCTGCAAGTTTGGATTTTTAAGCAATTTACATATGTACTATTCCAGCACCTTCTGTAACTTTTCAAATATTTAATCTGTGAAACTAAAATTCCTAATGTCTGTTTGAGGAGTTTATATTTCAGTGTTACAACTGACACCTAGAGGTAAACTGCCTGTACCTTTTTGGGGGGAGGGTGGGGACATCTAGAAGTAAGCACTGAAGAAACAACAGACCCATTTACTGGTAGATACAACTGCTGTTGTATGTCTTGTGCCCAATATGCATGAGAGGGTTTTAGAGAGAAGCTCCTGTTGATGAAGAAAATTAAGACGCCAGAATGGAAATATTTGGAAAAGTTACAATGATATGAGTTTTTAACAAAATCAAGTGCAATTTTATTCATAACACTGTGTATGAAAGATTTTCTATTTTAAATGCCATTGACCTATAGGTAACAGCTGTCTAGAGCTAACACTTGCTGTTGTGGCACATCTCATTGCCGGCAATGTGGTGGATGCCTGGAAAAATTATTTGCCCCTACCTTTCATGTGTTGCATGATTTAATTTAAAACAACAAACAAAACAACACCACCAAACATCACCAAACCCATTCCTGCAGCGCTCCAAAAGTGCTTGACCACATGTTAAGCAGATATTAACTAGATGACTCAGCACAGCTCTTCTCCCTTTACATGTAACATCTCCCACCAAGAAGTTGGCGCTCTTCTACGAGAACATGGCATTGCTTTCTAGAGGGTGCAAGCACTGCCTACCTTACTTGAAAGAGGCTTTATGGGGAGTCCACAGTGCTGGGATAGTTAAGTTCCCAGTGTCTGTTTAGAATTGCTTCCCATGTAAGTGATCTGATGATGAGCTTTCCTGTCCCAATTGGTCCTGTGGCCAAGAGGTACTCTGAGATCACTGTGTTTCAGTCAAAGTTTCAGACTCCTATATAATTGCATTTTGTTTCTCCTTTTGAGATTAAAAAGAGCATTTGGTGTTCTGTTTTTATTTTTTGCTTGGCTGTAACAGCTACACTTGCAATAACTTCCTCATGGAAACCCACTGTAGACTGTATGCAAAATTCAGGTTCATAACCTTTACAGCTGATGATTACCAGGTATGCAGTAGCTGGACAGCTCAGGAGCAGATGTGGCTGCTGCTGGAATGGCATAGGGAGTAAGCTTTTCTGGTTCTTCACTCATAGCTATGACAGCAGAAATAAACATGTGCCTGTACTTCATTCATTCCACTGTAAGGTCTGGTAGCTTAGCTGTAGTTCATCTTTATCAGCAATTCAAGCTGAAATGTGGCACTTTACAGTAGAGTAGCTGAGGCACAAGGACATAGTGTCTTCTGCTAGGTGTGCTGTGGGGCAGTGAACTCTCAGCAGATGGGCAGAGAAAAAAAAACTGTGGCTATAGCACCTCACTGCTTCTGCAGGAGTTGCTGGAGCTCTTCTTTAGATTACAGGTAGAATCTTTAATTAAAAAGTACTTCTAATTTGCTATGCTTAATTGATATAGATGAAAAAAATGTTACCTCCATGTCCTTTTGAGGAGAGGAAATTTTGTGAAATAAAGCTACACAAAGCTCGCTATTTAATGGGGGGGGGCGGGGTTCTGTTTTGATTTTTTTTTTTAAGTCCTATTGTTCTGGGTTGTTTGGGTTTTTTGAAACAAATAGGTAAAAATGTTCTCTACTGGAAGCACAACAGTTTGTATGTACTATTTAATAAAGGCTAGGCAAAGAGGAGAAAGGCTTATATTGTGTCCTTCAACTTTCTTACTACCTCTTGTCTCACAGGAGGAAGTGTTAACATCTTCACAAAGCTCCCTGATTTTAGCTCTTTACTGCGCAATATTTATAATGCAGTTATTCCCAACAGTTCTTTTTTTCTTGTTGAGCTTGACAATAGAGTGGAAGTCTGTCATTTGAAAAGCTAATAGAGGTAGAGCAAATAATAAATTTCTGAACAAAAGTAAAAGATCTAAAGTTTCACTACTTGTATTCATAGTTTAATTGAATTAATAATTTAACTAAAATAAATGTAGTAGCAGTGTGGTGCATGCAAGGGAGTCGCAGCAATGTGGCCTCTCCTGCAGCAGCATGTTTGGTCAAGTATGTTGGTTCTACTGAGGGGATCTTTGCCTCTTCTGAAACCTGGTTTTGCTCCTAAAGATGTATTGGCTCCATGACTTGGAAAAGCTCAGGAAAGCTTAATCAGCAAGCTAGCTTGCTAAAATGCCTGACCGGAAATCCTGCAGGTTGTTACTTTAATTATGTAGGCAGGGAAGACAATTCAAATTTATACCCATTCTTTCAAAAGGGTATTGGAATTTTAAAACAAACCATGCAAACTACTCTGAAAGACTTGGTGAGCTGGAGAGAGAAAAGATCTACTCTTAGGTCTGAGATCTACAAGTGTTTTTATTAATTAAAGTGATGTGGAAAAGCTGAATTTTCGTTAGGAAATTTGGCTGCTGACTTCAAATATCTTCAACAACCTGTTCCTAATAATTTTCTGCTTACAGAAAAAATAAATGTCTGACAGGAGTTTTTTAAGAGTTCTTGTGCCTGATTAGTTCTGTATAGATTTGTGAGAAGTAGCTGTGATACTGCTGTTGCGATTGCAGCATGTGCACACCATGCAGAAAACTGAAAACACACTGAAGCAGCTGATATTGTTGACCAGCTTTTCATTAGGGTGACAAAATGTTCCTGCTGAGAACTCTGAAGGAGGGACTGAGTAAGAGGTCACAGCATGGTAAAGAAATTACAGAATCACAGGCTTGATAGGCAGTGAGTCAGGATCATAAGACCTGGTGTAGGGAAGGGTATGTTTGTCTTATTCTGCATATATAGCAGTGGGTGTTTGTGGGCTTTGTTTATCCTCCTGTTCACTTTATATGGCATTTTATGTTGTATGCTAAAGTGTGGTACTTCTTAAAACCTGAAGAGGCCAATGCCTCACAAATAATTTGCTCTCTAGATTACAACTATTTGCATGTGAAGTCATTATTACCCAGTGTTATTGAAACTTTTGTTTCCTTGCACTAAATCAGTACTCTATCCCTTTTCCGGCCAAGTTCATAGGGTAAGTTCACTAAAGTAGAACTTATGACCTCCAAAAATAGACATTTACTTGCAAGATACGCCTTGCTATTCTCATCTGGTTGCCTTAGGTTATGCAGGCAACTGTGTGATGTATAGTGTGTGACTTTCCTACCTGCTCTGGTTTATGTAAGCCAAAGGAAACCAAACACCTCTCAGACTGACGCTGTGGGAAGACGAGTGTTTGCTACAGCCAGTCCCTTTTTTGGGCTATATAAAGCTGCACAAGGATTATGACAGGGTGAGGACAGTCCCCCTGGGGACAGCAGCCTGGCCGTGCCGACGTGCGTTTCCCGCTCGCGCCCGAGCTCCGGGGCAGGCCGCTCCTGTTTGTCGGGCTGCCGGCGCGGGGACTGCGCCGAGGGACAGCTCCTGGCGTTCTGTCCCTGGCGGAGCGCCCCGGGCTCTGCCAAAGACCCCCGCGGGGTGGCGGAGGGACGAGCGCGGCGCTGCCAGCGGGGCGGGAGCAGCGCGGCGGGCGGGGCCTGCGGCGGAAGCGGCGGTGGGGCGGGCGGGACCGGAAAAGGCGGCGAGCCTTCGGGCGGCGCGGGCGCTTCCGTCGGGGCCCTTCCCGTCGGGGTTTCCCCCCGCCCCGCCCCGCCGGTGCCCTACCTGCGCCGGGTGCTGTGGCAGCCGGGGCCGCGGGAGTCGCCGCCATGCACGACGCCTTCGAGCATGTGCCGATCCTGGAGAAGCTGCCGCTGCAGATCGACTGCCTGGCGGCCTGGGGTGAGCCGGAGGGGCCGCGCCGCCGTCCGAGCCGCTCCGCTGTCCCGTCCCGGTCAGCCGTGCGGGGGGTGCCGCGCCCTGCCCTGCAGCGGGCCGGGGGAGGCAGCGCCGCCCGGCCCTGGCCGGCTGCACCCTGTGCGGGCGGGGCCCTGCCGCCCCCCGGGCCGGCGGGAGCGAGTCCCGTGTCCCGGCTCCCGGCCGTGCCCGCGGCCCGGGCCCCGCTATCCTGCCCGCCTGGCTGTGCAGGAGGCTGCCAGGATTCCCAGGGCTGTAACAGGGGACTAGCTAGTTTCTTGCTAAAAGAGCATCCCCTGTATTCTGACTTAAGTTTATCTTGGAATGCTGGTGGTACGTTGAGGTCTTAGATTTAGAATCTGTTTGCATGTGTTAATGGTATATCACCGTAGGTTATATTTTTGGGCATACTTGACTGTCAAGGTTTTGGTCAGTGACTGCACCAGGTGTATGATGATAGGACTTGATGAGGCTTATTGGAGCCTTGGCAGTTACCATCAGATGTACCACCATCACACAAAATCGATAATTAAAAGAACTCCAAGCACGATGGAATTGTGACCCCCACTAATCTGTCTTCAGACCGAAATTATATCCTGAATTGTAGTGCCCCATTTATACGTGGATTGTTTATGCTGGAGTTATGTATTGGAGAGGATGTGAAGATAGTTTATTCCTGCATTGCAGCTTTTATCTTTTATCTCTTTGAAAGCACTGAGTTTGCTGAAGTAGAGAAAAAGCCTAAACCTACAGCCTTCTGGCAGTATAGTTGTGTATAAAGAGGTGTAATTCTGTCCCTACAGCTTTTGTACCAACTAGTGGAAGAACTTGCAGGAAACAAGACTATTAAAATGCAAGTATATTTGGTAATGAGACAGTACTAAATGTAGAAAGAAATATTAATGTATGCTGCTTTCCTATATGATATTCAGCGAGGAAGAAATTCATTCTTGTTTAATCAACCTATAAAGATTCTGTGCCTTTTGTATGGTGTAGATGCTGTAAAGAGGAAGAGTTTGAAAGCCTGCCATAGAGCTTGTAGATTAAAAGGTTCTCTTTTATAAATCTTAAATGGCTTTTGGTTGTCCAATCAATCCAAATGTCACCTAAGCAAAGCTGCCACTATCCTTCCAAACATAGCTGACTCTTTCAGAGAGTTCTCATAAAAACCTGACTATTAAAAAAAATGAACAGTCAAATCCAGGTAGAACTCCTTGTTTTTCTTTCTGACAGTACTTCCCACTATGCAGCAGTGTTCCTCTCAGAGATAATAACATCCGAAGAATACTTTATCGCCTCTTTTGACTGCACAGGAGATGCAATGATTTGCTTATTTACCTTTGTATAAACAAGTGGAATGTGATGCCTAGTCTGTTTGTTCTGTTACTGCTTGATCTTTGGCTATTCTCTCCTGATAATGAAAGCTGCTTCTGAGCACTTCCACTGGAGAGGTGATAGGAGACGAGTAGTCACTAGAGAGTGTCCTCTTTGGCATTTGAAAAAAGTTCCCACATACTCTGATAAATGTAACATAGCCCCATACTAGGCACTGTGAAGAAAATTAACTACTCTGGCCAAACCCAACACAGCTGGGAAGGGCAGTACTTTTTGAACTAATTAGACTGTCTTTCTCCTATGTCTTTGTAGAGGAATGGCTCCTTGTTGGTACCAAACAAGGGCATCTTCTACTTTACAGGATCAAGAAAGATGTAGGTAAGTTTATTTTAAGAATGGCACAAAAAGTTGATTATGTTATTTTGATTTCCTGCACTTTAGGAGGCTGTAGTGATTTTAACACAAGTGTGTTTAATTGTTGATTTTTTCCTACATAGAGTTTAATGAATATTTGTGTATGATCTTTGGTGAAAGTGTTCATACCATTTTTCAGATGTACAAGAAAGACAGCAAGTAATGTGAGCCTTTGTTTTATGTCCGGTTTCTATTTGTTTGAATTTATAGTAAGCTGCTGTAATTTTTCTGAATACAATGCGCAAATATATGCAAAAGCAGTACCAGTTATGAGGGGTTTGACGTTATCTTTTAATGGACTGGATTAGTGAAAGACCATATATATTCAGTGGGTCCATGAGCATCATAGATGGGGGAGAGGGCTCCCTCCTAACTAGTGTTATCATGTATATACTCTTCTTCTTGTCTCTTTGACAGTCATAAGTGTTCACAGCCTATTCTAGAGATACCACAAATAGAACTGTTCTATTTTCAGTTTAGTTAAAATTGATTTTCAATAACAGATTTGTATTTCACATTATCTGCCGTTATGTAGAAACTGATGTTACTGAACACAGTAGTATTGTGTAGCATGGGACAGGAAAGTAAAAATCAAATGTGTGTTTCCAAGTTCTCAGCTCTTGGAAGAATGTTCATTTGTAGCTACTTGGATTCTACAGAATGAGTTCAACTTGCTTTTTCTGAAAGTTGTAGGCTATCTATTCCAGTCAGAACATGCTAGTTTTGAGTTGCTAGTGTCTTATCTCACGTGGTAAATTTCTTCCCCTTTTTTGCATCAATGCCAGGAGAGGTTATGTCATCAGAAAGTGTCTGTAAGTCTTTCTCCCTAAAACTCCTTTTAAACCCTTGTGGTGTAGTGTTTATTCCATGTCTATTTTGCAGTGATGTGCTCCCTAGCAATTTAAATTGCTGATATTTGATGGATAAAGTGTGGATAAAGACTTTATGGGTATCTTTGTATTTCTGGGTTTCAAATTACTTAGAAATAAGTCTTGTAACCTAAAATTCTGGCAAGGCAAAAATATAACTATTGATGAGGCCCTCAGAGGGGTACAAGAAGTGTAATTTGTATTTTCACCTAACTATGTAGAGGACCTTCTGATGCATTTAGCTATTAATCAAAGGTAGCACAGATATGTTAGAAGTGTCATTCTTCCAGTGTTATGTTTGCTTACATAATTATTTGTAATCTACTTAGTGTGAGATGTATGCAATCATGAGTGAGGGCAACCTCAGTTTACATATTCTCTCAAATCTTTCTCATAGGTTGCAATAGGTTTGAAGTGACACTAGAGAAATCCAACAAGAATTTCTCAAAGAAGATTCAGCAGGTAGGAAATACCATCTCCTTGATGTGAGGACAGTTTTCTGCTGTTTTCAGCCAATAAATGAAGTAATGTTAC